CGTACAAAGGACCGGTTGAAGACTGTATCACAGCCTGCATAGATTTATTTTTCCATGGGAAACTTGATGCAAAAATGGTGAAAATATCTTATGTCTGAATATGAAAATAGTTTGAAAATTGGGCGGAGACAATTAAATTATGTTACGATTGTTTTACCGAAACGTATCAGCAATAGTGAAACTATTTCCCAAAGGAAGATATTTCAGTCCAAAAATATGTGATACTGATATGTTTCGGTGAAGCAATTGTAACATAATTCAATTGTCTCCACCCGATTTTCAAACTATTTCCATATCCAGACTTAAGATATTTTCACCATTTTCCCATCACGTTTCCCGTGGAAAAATAAATCTGTGCAGGCTGTGTATGTATTGACCGGGCGTGACGTTTGGGTGGGATTCTGGGGGTCACTTTTGGCTAGCATTTTTGCTGGTTCGCAGAAATAAATATATAGAAATTACCAGAAAATATATTCATTCAATATAATATACAGCACTACATAAAAAGTGTGTCGTAGACATTCGTGCCCATCTAGCACACTCCGATCCCGTGAGAACCTGCCAGTGTGTGAAGATGAGGGCCACCTCAAGGTTCGCCTGCCGCCTATCGAGCTCCGGCAGTGCTGATCGTCGGGCCAGGCCCCCAGAGATATACGCTGCGACGGTTACAAGGAAGCGTGAAGCAGCTGCTGCTTCGCAGCCAAGCCTATGCCCATGCGACCGGTGCGGACTTCACGGTGCGATGGCGGGCCCTAAATACCATCTGTAATGAAATGAGTCCTTTGAATTAGAAAGAACAAGAAAATTATATAATGAAGTGAGAAGTCTACTGGCTCACCGACAGCCACTAGTCACACCAGGTAGCCTGCTCTCAACTATGCAGTATATGGGTAGTAATATTGTCAGTACAGGGTCAGCGACATAATGTACTTGATTGAATGGCCCGTGCGACTCCTGCACTATGGCCATCATTCCCCTGCACTACACTCGAATTTCAGCGCATACATGCACCTAGAGGCTTATATTCAGCATTCTTGAGCATAATGGGGATACTACTCACCAGTTTCGGTCACAAGATGCAACAATTGTCGATAGGCCAGCATTGCTGATGGTGGTTGAGCACAAAGAAGTGTTTCGAACTCCGACAGTGGGCCACTCTGTGTAAGTATCGCCAAAGCGCCACAGACCAAATCGCATCCGGTCTCAATGTGGGGTGATCGGAACATCTTGTGGAATTAGCTACGTCGCAGCCGGATTAGACACAAGAAGGCCTCCTGCGTCGCAACCATGATCGGACATATGAGCGCGACGTAGGAATCCCACTAAGTTCCGCCCATGTCGTGCTGGGTGAAATTTTACCCCAACACAGTGTGTGCGGTTTAAGTCACCGTGTTACGACAGGCGCAAATGCTCTAATGCTAATCGATTACAACAATCTCCATCCCTGTATGACTTTCGCATACCTCAGAGGACGCATGAATTTGATACGTGGACATAAACCCACCACTTTAAGTCTTATGGATTTCATTCCAAACTGATACAAACGCTGCATGCTCGAGATGATCAGCCGTGGCGCAGGCTAAAATCCAATCCACTGACCTGGGTCGCTATTACCAGGGGTTGCAAAAGCCCCGGAATTGCCCGATGCATCCATGCTATCGGAAAGTGTGCGAGCTTTCTTTGCTTCTGCGAGACTCAAGCGAAGCCTTTCCGTCAACTTCTTCACCATGAGCTGTTCAACTTTCTCGTTCGCCTCCTGGGACAATCCTTTTGGCCTTACCCAACCTGGATAGATCTTTCCGTGTGTCCCCTTAAGCTCCCATTGTACTTCTTTTGGCACGGCTTGACGATATGCCTCAAAGAAGAGGTAACACGGATAACAAGACAGCTTGGAAACGCCAATGTAGGGATGTGGCGGGAGATCAGCAAATGTTGTCGTGTGATATACAAGCAGGGTGCATTCACAGTGAGGGATCTGGCGAGAGAGGTCCACGACTTGCGATGTTTTGGAGTATGACTCGCCTAACTGGGCTAGGAGATGCTCTCGCGAGATGAATGGATGTATTTCTTGTTCCTCTGACTTTGATTCCTCCTCTTCCTCATGCGGCGTCTCGGATTCACTTAGACTTTCAATGAAAGAGCCGATGTCTTCTTCCGAAAATGAAAAAGGACGGGAAAGGGGAGCGTAGGGTTGCACTAGCACCACATCAAGTTCTGCATGGAACATAATTTTTCTGCGAGGAGATGTCGCAGCACGTAAAAGAGTGTGAATATGGGTGTGGAGAGAGTAGGCCTTCTCCATGAAGCGTCGAAAGTCGAATATTTTTGAATTTGACGTCACATTTCTCTCTAGCAGTGTAGTCAGCGTTAGTTATCACTAAAACAGTCGCCGCGGTAGTCACCTTGCCGCCGCTGCTCAAAAATAGCTTGCCAATTTATCATAGGAAGCCCATTCTCCTCCGTCGCTCGTGCCCAGTCACGTCGCACGAGCGCAAGAACGTCGACTATCTTAGGAGCGGCCTCGGACGCAGGCAAATTGATAAGTTCATATATTCGTTGCACGCAAGCCAACAGCCCGCGCAAAATGATTTTGTTGCCCAATGGAATGTCCGAGTCGGGTAATCGGGCATCCGATGCTATCGCATCGTTCATGGTAGTAATGAACTCCTGCGCTTCTCGTCGGCGCTTCATGATGCGAGCTTTCAGCTTGGGAAAACAAGTAGTGTAGACATGGTAGAGTGTCTGCCTCCACAAGTTCATGAGGTCCGCATCCAACACCTCATCGGGAGTTTTCCGAAGAGCTTCGTCGGAGGTCTGAGGTCCATATCGGCTGATCGCCTGCAACTTTGTCCAGATCAAGTTGAGATGGTCCACAACGCTCGAATCCACGGCGCCGTTCTGTGCGACGTGGATAGTGATATTGCGGCTACTCGCCGTCCAAGTGACAGCTGAAACTTCTCTCTCGCGCCGCGTTACTACAGCAGCAATAGCATCTGCAATCTGTCGCTCGCGTTTCCCGGCCTTGTCTTTCGGTTCTGGGCTAATGCGACGGAGTTCGGAGACGGAAGCTTCATACGCTGACTGGTAAAAGCCAGCGTATAAGTGGAGAACACATATCAACTCTTCAGGCGTCGGAGGCTGAGTAGTCATGGCGGGGATGAACTATGTTGTGCCACAACAGGTGACTCGGCAGGGACGCCACCAACGCGAGAACGATCATGTGCCACACGGTCGGAAGTACCCAATAATGGACGCCTTACCCAGCGCGCAACTCTCCTCCTGCTATCGTCTCGACTGCAGTCATGGCGGTGTTGCGCTCGCTGTTGCCTCTCGTTTTCCTCTCGCTTGCGTTTGCCCTTCCTTCTCCTGAACAGCTTCCTCTTGGTGGTGACACGAGCTATGCACACATCGCTGGTGGTCTCTCGGGCGGGGCCATCAGTGAGCTCAAGCACGTCGCACACGACACGGTTGAGAACGCGAAGACCGGCGTGCACAAATGGCTTGATGTCTTTGGCACGTCGCGCGTAGAGCAGAATGGGATTGTCTGTAAGTGATGGTGACGAGGTCAACCGCGCAGGCTTAGTGACCTCGGCTCTGCAGACGAGCTCGTGTCACACCCTGCATTCGAGCATTATCAGTTGAGGGTCACAGAGCCGGACCTATGCGACTCGACCGTGCAACAGTATTCTGGGTATCTGGATATCGCGGAAGACAAGCACCTATTCTTCTGGTGGGTTACGTCTCCACGGCGACCTTGCGCTGGCTTATCTTCACCTCTCACAGGTTCTTCGAGGCTCGCATCAACCCATCGGAGGCCCCTCTGCTTCTCTGGCTTAACGGGGGACCCGGTTGCTCTTCGTCCACTGGTCTTCTGTTTGAACTGGGCCCTTGCTCGGTTACCGAGGACGGCACGAACGTCACTTACAATGAGTACTCGTGGAACACCCATGCGAATGTCATCTTCCTCGACCAGCCAGTCGATGTCGGTTTCTCATATGCTGACCAAGGCACTTCCGTCAACACTAGCCCCGTCGCAGGCAAGGACGTCTATGCGTTCCTCGAGCTGTTCTTGGGGCGCTTCTCGAAATATGCGGACGCTCCGTTCCACATTGCAGCTGAGAGCTACGGCGGGACGTACGCACCGAACATTGCCTCTGTCATCCATGCAGAGAACAAGGTTCTTGCTCATGCGCAGGCACAGTCGAACGCCGTCCCTGGCCTTCTTCACATCAATCTTGCATCTGTAATGCTTGGCAATGGCCTGACGGATCCGTACGTGCAAATGGCGAGTGTACCCGATTGGGCGTGCGAAGGTCCCTATCCAGTCTACGATGACTCCGATGGCGTAGAGTGTCAGGCGCTGAGGTCGAAGGTCCCGACTTGTCAGAGACTGCTCAAGAGCTGCTATGAGTTCAACTCGCGTCTGACGTGCGTACCGGCGCTACTGTATTGCAATAGCCAGATCATGGGCCCCCTCGTCCGTATGTATTTTTACTGCCGTATCTGTCTCAATACTTACGAAGCTGATGTAGAACTCGGCTACAACCCTTATGACGTTCGCCGGAAGTGTGATCGTACCAAGGACGGTGATCTCTGCTACCGACAGATGTCGTGGATCGACACGTGGATGAACCAGCCGGCGGTCAAGAAAGCGCTCGGTGTTGATCCGTCGCGCGAGTTCGAGAGCTGCAACATGCAGGTCAACCAAGCATTCGCCCTCCAGGGAGACGGTGCGCACAACAGCGCGAAGCTCCTTCCGGAGCTCATCGAAGATGGCGTCAGGTTGCTCGTCTACGCCGGCAACGCAGACATGATGTGCAATTTCATGGTACGTTTCTGCATAGTCTGTCGGCGTGGGCGTCTACTGATAGCTTATCTGCAGGGCAATGAGCGCTGGGTAGAGGCGTTGGATACCAAGTTCCATGACGAGTTCAGTGCGAAGAAGTCTGTGCCGTGGGTGACGACGGACACTGGCGCGATTGCCGGTATGGTGCGTAGTGCAGGCGGAGGGGGGTCCTCAGCCGGGAACGTCACCTTTGTCGCTGTACATGAAGCAGGGTGAGTGATCGTACAGTTGAGCTCTCGAGTTATTGCTGATGTTCTCCGTAGACATATGGTTCCTTACGACCAACCTGAGGCTGCTTTGGTATGTCACCGCGTTTTATGACGAGCTGAGAGGGATCACTCATTGTGCGTGTAGGACCTGGTCACGAGATGGCTGTTTGATATCCCGTTGTCATTGAACGCATCCGCATCCGAAGTCTTCTTAGGTTGATGGTAGAATATCTCCTCGTTTGCGGTGCGAGCCGTTATCCTTGTTGTCACTTGTGTATTGTATACTATCAGCGTTGACGCTCAATCCATGATGAAGTACAGCATGTGGCGAAGCATCAAACCAAACCCACGGCGCTCCTTGTGATACATTTTGGAGTTGACATGGGAGACTTTGCCACACAAGATTTCCGAGCGGACTGCAGACCTCGTAGAAGGTGAGCCCATTGCATCGTTCTCGCGAGCGTTGCAGCTCGAAGCGTTCGATTTGGATAATGGACATGATGAGAACCAGATAGCCAGATACGGATCTGTCCTCATAGATATCTCCGGCGACTATTATCATGAGTGGCCTGTATGAACCACTGGCCACACACTGATGCGAGATGTCTCAAGTTCCATACTTAACCTCTCATGGACTGAGATCCATGTCCCCATCTTCACGCTTGGTTGATCAAGAACGCACCCGTCATAGGCTCAGACGGTATGTCTATAATATCACATTTCAAGCAGCCCACCGCTCATGTATTCTCTTCCGTGATGTGGCACCTTGCATCGGACAATCTTTCTCGCTCTCAACGACGACATGACAGCAGGCTTTACTGCTTATTTGATGTCACGAGATGGCTATCGGCTGTGACTGTGTCTCGTTTCGAAGCACACTCGTGAAATCGTGTTGCAGCGAACTGACTTCTTGGATACATATGTGTGTTCCTGCGACTGCTCCTAGCTCTATGCTGCTTACTTTTAGACCAGCCCAAAGAATGTCCTCTGGCACAAATCGTGCATTAGTGAAGATATTCCTAATGGCTGTCGGACAGCCAACATTTGTCAACCACAAGAAGCTTTGCGACATTCGCCAGCGAAGGGAACGCGCCATCAGAAGAAAAACCACTCTGCCATAACAAACACGCGCGGCTTTCCCGACACCGCAGATGCCGTGACAACGCTTCCCGGACCAGCAAGTGTGGGGCTGCAGGATGTCGCGGAGCACGCGCTGTCGACGATATGCGATCTCTGCAAGACATCACGTACCTTACAGCTGTATAATGGCAAGTTTCCCCTCAGCGACATCGATCTTCAACATATCTGCCCAAACAGTATCTGTACGGAATGAAATGTATCACGAGCAATGGTTGGGTGTTCTGAACTATCATGCCAGTCATCACAACGGACCAAACCTCACCATGTTATAATCAACAGCTGCTATCTTCTGTCAAAATTTGTGCGTGCTTTCCCAAAGCTTTACTTGCTATCGTCGAGCAACTTATACCCTGCGTTGTAGCATTGGGATACGACTTGCACCATTTGCCACCGTGCTATGAATCTTCAGCTTGAGCGGGATCATGTGCTGGACCTTTTGAAAGAGAACCGCCCGGTTGTGCTCAGATTTCCAATGGCAATGGAAAAGGATGGGGATTTCTGGAGACAGCTGGTGGCCGATGATGGAAGGTTACGGTACCTTATCCTGACACTTTCCGGGAGAGATCTGGACGTGAGCAGTTGCATCGACCGGGCCACGCAATGGACGGTATGTTTCGATGAACTTCTATCTCCCACAGTGCTGATAGCGTCGAGGAATTAGTACCACATCTTAAAGTATCTCGGGACATCCCAGCTCATATGTGTTCGCATCCAGATCGGCTTCACTGCCGACGTTATTTTGCAAGCTTTAGAAGGCCTCCCACGACGCTTCGCGAGGGCAATACCCTCTCTGCGATATATGGCGATGGAGTGGCTGACGCACAAGCTGGGAGCACCGCCTCGCGCAGATCATGACCATCCCTGTGAAGATTGTATACAGCAGAGCTCATGGTGGAGACTTGAGGATACAGACATGCCGAGAGTCCTCATTCCCGTCTCAGCTACAGTGGGCGAACACGTAGATGCTCACCTGCAGTCGGCAGAGTTTGCATCCACACTGGACTAAGTTGTCTATCCATTCATTCGTGTGTGATATGTTGTTTGCTTACCCGATCGGACAGACAAATCGTGGGTGTTGATGTCGATATCTGTAATATTAATTTCGATACTTCACAGATGCAGCCTTCAGCGACGTATTGCTCGCTGATTAATCTAGCCGATGACGTTCGCTCTTCTGAAGACCAAAAGATCAGGAAATGACGACCCCCAATTTGTTAGATGGTAGCGACCGTCGTACAATAGTTCTTCCACAAAATGCTCACATGCAAACCTGCCATACGAGGTGCTAGAGATTTTGCTGCCATCCAGAGAAAAGGTGCACAAGTTTCCTACTATGAGACTGTTCTGTGAGCCAGCAGCTAACATCGGCACAATATATGGCGAAGAACTGAAATCGCTCGGATTGTGAGGTGACAGCGCTTGGGAAGACTGAGCCCTTTGCGTTGAATTGCCTTCTACATGTCCGAATTTCGATATTCCCGCAGATCTATGAGCTATCTGTCTCCGCTGCACCAATAATCTCGGCCTCTATTACGAGAAATGATTGTCTTCCGCATACTAGTTGGAGGCAGAGCGCTCGGAGTTACGGTCAGCGCTCGTCGAGACGCTAAAAGAGTACCTAACTCCAAATAGCCATGATGACGGTATAGGAGACTCGATCGATCTTTGTCAGATAATTGCGTCGAGGAAAGTCCCATTCGAAATCGTCTTCGCTTCTAATATCTCAGCCTACGTGATTATGCGAGAGCATTCGTCAGCAATTAATCCCTCCGAGGCAGCCTCCCAGAGCACTTATAAGCTCATCCCATTGCGTTAGGCATCCAACCGTTCCCCTTCCTCCTTGATCTGCGCTACCTACCATTCAAGGCTTCCATCTCACGATGTCGACTGCAATCCCTAAAACCATGAAGGCACTCCTCGTTCAGGAGGTAAATCCAACCCTCGCACCTCTTACCTAACTTCGACTTAACATATCTCTCCTAGGGCAAAACCGTCGCCGTCAAGGAACACCCCGTCCCTCCGGTTGGCGACGATGACGTCCTCGTGAAGAACGTCGCCGTCGCTCAGAACCCAACCGACTGGAAGTGTGAGTGACATAACTCCCCGCGATCACTGCCAGTGCCAGACCCGACTGATTCACGCGCCTTCTTCCAGTCGTCGACTTCGTCCAGAAGGCAGGCACGATCCTCGGCTGCGACTTCTCCGGATACGTCGTCGCAACGGGCAAGAACGTCGCCTCGCCCAAGGTCGGAGACCATGTTGCGGGCTTCGTCCAGGGCGGCACATACACCGACTATGGCGCGTACGCCGAATACGTGCGCACACCCGCCGAGCTCACGTGGGTCGTCCCGGAGGGAACGCTGAGCCACGAACAGGCGGCTGCTCTGGGCTGCGGGTATGTCCCGTGTTCAGCACGACCATAAGTCAATGCTTAATAGAATGCGATAGTTTCTGGACAGCGGTACAGGCGCTCTACCACCCGAAGCGTCTCGGACTCGTCGAACCTCCTGCGAGGGTCGACAAGGAGCAGTGGGTGTTCATCTACGGCGGAAGCGGTACGCCCCTCACTTTCTCCCTCTCCTCGTCATCAACTGAATCCCTCCTCCAGGCTCCGTCGGCCAATACGCAATCCAGCTCGCCCACCTCTCCGGGTACAAAGTCGTGACGACCGCCTCTCCGCGCAACTTCGAGCTCGTGCGCTCTCTTGGCGCCGACGTCGTGTTCGACTACCACGACTCGGACGTGGTGAGCAAGGTCAAGGCCGCGACGGGCGACAGCATCGCAGAGTCGTTTGACACGATCAGCCTGCGCGAGAGCCAGGAGATCTCCGCGCGTGTCGTCAAGCTCGGTGGCGGCAAGCTCGTGCTGCTGCTCGCGCCGATCGCAGAGGCGAAGGTGCGGGACGACGTAGAGATCATCCGTACGTATCACCCCCTCCCTCTTCCCACTGTCTGCTCAACGGCGTGCTGACCGTCGCACAGCGACTCTGCTCTACACCGTCCTTGGGCGCACGTTCTCGCTCAATGCGAGGGAGTACCCCGCGAGCACGGAGGACCGCGGGCACATGGCTGCGTTCCTGCGTAAGCTCCCGGGTCTCGTCAAGGAGGGAAAGATCACGCCGAACCGGGTGCACGTCTGGGAAGGCGGGCTGCAGGCGGTGCCCGAGGGTCTGCAGTACATGCGTGAGGGAAAAGTGAGCGCAGAGAAGATTGTGTACCGGCTGTAGCTTGCAGGTTGGGAGCACTGGTAGGATAAGAGTAAGTGTTGCTGTATGCATGTGCTATGACGCAGCGAATAGCCACGGAGAAGACGGAAGACGAAGACTCATGATGCACGTATTGTTTGGACATACGTGAGATGCTGCTGCTGATGCTTGTAATTTCCTCGTCCTTTATAACATTAACACAGAACTCAATTACTGACACATCCATGTCTGGCATCGCGCCACTAACGGAAACTCTCGAATAGCGCGAAGCACCGACCGTACAACCGCGCGCAGTTGTGACCCCACACACTGTATGTCTAGGAGGACATGGACACGAACAGTGAAGTATGCGTGCTGTAAGGGTAAACCAATCTTCGTGGCTTGTTATGCTGAGCGAAAGGCTGCAGCTATACACAGGCCTCATACCGCTCGCAATTTGTGGAAGCTGCCATATGGCAGGCCATCACCTGGCTGACTCACTCATCGTCATCTTGAATCCGCATGAGCTTCGCAGGTAGCCTTTGCGCGCCACCGTTTCACTCTATCAACCAAGGCTCTGAATTCATTTGGAAGCACTTTCGATCTCTGGCATAATTCTCGCCTGGACAAGCATCGCCCGCTCAATACGATGATACAATGATCACAGACGTTACAGTGCGGATCGTGAATTCGAATGCAGTGGTCTTCAGGAACAGCTATATCTCACCAGAAACACGTTAGCCATTTCGCTGTCGAGGATCGGAAGGTGGGACTTGGACGAAGACCCAGCGACAATTGTTTTTTTGCAGTATCCTCAGACTCGTTCAAGGTGACCTGGGGCTAATAGTGCTGCGGTCAGCTGCACATGCCTAGATCTCATTGCAATGGTGCGTGCTTACATGATAGCTAGTACCGTCTTCTCTTTTACACAAGCCCCAGTGTGGACCTCCTTTGAACGCACTGATCCTGTGTACAGAATCAGACCTGGAGAAACAGTTAAGCTCATCAGCGATAGACTTACAAACAGACGATGCTGTTTTGCGAGTCGGAAGCATCGTCGACATTCTTCGCGATGGAAGACATCGCGCTTTGCTGCGGAAAAATGTGGAACGCCTGCGTACAGTTTGCTTGTAAAATAACATCGTATGGAAGCGGGTTGAGATCCATCGTGGGGTGCGTGGAGGAAACGGATATCCCTTAGATGTGTCAGTGAGGGGATGGTCCGAGTCTAATCATGAGAGAGTCACGGTCGTCCTACCCTTCTTGACAGGGTCACCGTCCTCTTGAACCTTGAGCGAGACATGGAGTCGTCCTTGCGAGCTCTGAACTTGAATGGAAGAGTGGTTCGAGCGTCTGAAGTGCTTCACAATCCACTATTCAAGATGCGCTCAATTTGCATGCTGCACTGCGAGGGATAGAACACCTGCCTTTGTGGCATTAGACTCGGATCCGTTGTGGTCAGGACCGACCCCTCTTTTTCGTCCGATATGATGTAGTATGTTCCGGCGTCAGTGTCACTCTTGATCTTGTACGTGCCGTCCGGGATACTCATTCTCGCTGGTGGATCAGGGTCGATGGCTAACAGTGTGGGGCGCCATCAGATGTGCCCGCGCCTTATATGCATCAGTGACTGATATCCAGGACGTCTTCCCTGCGTTGCGATATGCAGATATATACCTCATATCTCTTCATCTGTATAGCACGCGCATGCAGCATGCTCGAATGCTCCGAGTCCTTCCAGAGGTTTCATATGTGTACCATCCTGCACGCTCCTCATCCCTTGCGCCGAGGGGGGTTGAACTGCCACCCACTCTTTAAACTCTCCCTAAAGAGAACATATCTCTTCGTCCGTATAAACAAAGGAAGGAGCATGCGGACAGTGCGGCATGTTCGAACGCTCCTTCAAGTTCCGGACTTTCCATATGTGTACACACCTTCTCACGATTCTCATCCTTCCTTGCGGGCAGCCATGTGAACGGGGCCTGAGCCTAGATGGGGCTCTTCACTGTTTGAAGTAGCCATACAGTACGTTCGTCCCACATGACACATAGAATCTGAGTCAGCGTTATGTTCATCACACTTTTATGTATGCTTTATGATATATCTGGAGGGAACAGCGGGCCCGGCAGAAGCGCGAGTTGCATTACTGTCGCGAGCGGCGAGACGCTCAGGTCTCCTTCGCTGAATACCACGAGTGGCACCTTGCCCTGCAGATTCCTGCCGAGGAGCTGTCTGTCTTCTGCCTTTGCCCTCCCCGCTGGGTGACCCATCTTGGCATTCACAATCACCGGCTCTCCGGGTGACGGTCCTCCTAGAACCTGACCTCATACCCTGTGGACTCGACGACTCGACGTCGATTGATATATTCCAGAATAACAGCTTTTATTGCCGTCACGAAGGCAACCTCTCTCCTGCCGATCCGGACATCGAGCGGCGTTATCATAGAACGTGGAACTGCTGACCCACTTGCCGCCGCGGTAATACTTCTTGCAGTTACAGAACTTATCACCAGGTTTGCCACCTTCACTCGGGTTGCTTGCAAACCGGTCCATGGTCAATGCAATGGGGGGCACTGGACAACGAGCACTGCAGACAGCGGGGGGAGAGGAAGATATTACATTGATACAGGACACCACAGCGCGACAACCGCATGTTCCGGATCATGAAGCAGCGAAAACGCGAAACGCGAAACTTACCTTTTCTTTTGAGCGAGCGGCGCTCACGTGGGCTTTTCTTCAGGAAATCGCGCCAGCAGGCTTGCCGGGGCTAGCGCTTGGCATGGCGAGATTTCACCGACAGTAGGAATCGGCGGACCACGCAGTATGAAGTATACCATTCGTAGAGGACGCCGCAGGGGTTTTCACTGGGATTGAATGGTGGTGAGTATGGTTGGCCAAAGATCACCACTGGATTGCCCTCACCGGAACGCTCGAGAGCGCCCCCGACTAATAAAGGCGGCCAGGGAAGGGACCCGACGAGCATTTCCCATTTGCAATGCCTCGCAAACTCCCCTTCGACCTCACCCAGTCCACCATCGTCGTACGTCGCCAGCATCTTATCTCGTCCGCTTGTCACTGACTTGCTATCTATCTAACCCATCCACAGAAAGGCGCAGAGCTCGCCCACCTCGCTGAGCGGCCGCTCCCCAAGGCGCCCGATGGCGAGTATGACTACGCGTCTCTCGCGACGGGCGAGAAGCTTAGGCGGACGACCGTGCGCGAGCACTCGGGCTTCTTCACGGTCACTTCCGACATCCAGGGCGCCCTCGAGCGCGGGAACGTCGTCTCTGACCCCCGCGCGCCCGAGGCCGTCTTCCAGGCGATCACGAACCCGGAGGCGATCGACGACCGCAAGGGTCTGTTCGCCGGAGGCCTGGCGGCCCTGACGAAGCTCCCCCCCCGGGAAGCTGCAGGATACTTTGAATGATAAGGTCATCACGGTGTTGTATGAGACGCTCACGCACCCGCCTGCGACGTTCATGGACGACGAGTATCGATTTAGGAAAGCCGATGGTAGTGGGAATAATGTGACAATTCCTGACCTGGGACAGTCTGGGAGGCCGTATGCGAGGAGCGTACAAGGAAAGCACCCTTTACCGGCGAATGTGTTGCCTGATGCAGGCTTGGTGTTTGATACTCTGCTCAAAGCTCGTGATGTGAGTGTAAATCACCTTTGATTTGTTACGCATTATGTTGATTAAATCGTGCAGTTCCAACCCCACCCTGGCCGAAACTCGTCTCTTACCTTCGCCTTCGCGTCTATCGTCACCCACTCCCTCTTCCGCACCGACCCTGCCGACCGAAACAAAAACAATACCTCGTCCTATCTCGACCTCTCACCTGTCTATGGAACGAACCAGATCGAACAGGACCTTGTTCGCGACAAAGCACAGGGCCGCGGCCTCCTCTACCCCGATACATTCTCGGAGGACCGGCTTCAGTTCTTGCCACCCGCAGCGAGTGCTCTTCTCGTGATCTTCTCCCGAAACCACAACGTGAGCGCGATATCTCGGCTATTTTCCAATACATGGTACTGATAGATGAAAATCTAGTACATTGCCGACATGCTCCTGAAGATCAACGAGAAGAAGAAATGGAGAGACCCGGCGACGCTGAGCGAAGCCGAGCGCGCGAAGCAGGACGAGGAGATCTTCCAGACCGCGCGGCTCGTCAACTGCGGGCACTTCATGGCGCTCATCTTCGGCGACTACGTCGCGGGCTTCCTCGGTCTCGGGCGCGACGGCTGCACGTGGAGCATGAACCCGTTCGACACGATCCACAAGGAGGACGGCGACCTCGTCCAGCGCGGGACAGGCAACCACGTCTCGGTCGAGTTTAATGTCCTCTATAGGTGGCACGCGACGACCGCCCAGGAGGACATCAAGTGGGCGGAGGATCAGTTGGGGAACGTCTTCAGGGGGAAGGCGCTTGATAAGCTCGAGCTAAGTGACTTTCAGGAGGCGGCAAGGGAGCTTTTCACCAGCACGCATGAGCCTGAGCCTCGGAAGAGGACGTTCTCTGGGTACGTCTGCCCTCTTCCCTTAGCACACAATATCTAAGTCTCTGCCCCTTTAGCCTCAAACGTCAGCAAGATGGCTCGTTCTCTGATGACGACATCGCGAAACTCCTCCACGACGGCACTGAGAAGGTCGCGGGCGCGTACCGTGCTCGCGGCACTCCAGCTTGCCTGCGTGTAATCGAAATGGTGTGCATTGAGCAAGCCCGCAAGTGGGGTGTCTGCACCATGAACGAGTTCCGCGAGTTCCTGGGCCTCAAGCGTTTTTCGTCCTTCGAGGAATGGAGCACCGCGCCAGGCATCGCAGATGCCGCTCGCAGGCTCTACGGGCACATCGACAACCTCGAGCTCCACCCCGGTCTGCAGGCTGAGGACTGCATGGCTCTCGGTCCAGGCAGTGGAATCTGCTGCGGGTACACGATGACGCGCGCCATCCTCGCCGACGCGATCGCGCTCGTGCGCGGCGACCGGTTCTTCACAACGGACTACACGCCCGAGGCGCTCACGAGCTGGGGCTTCCAGGACTGCGTGCGCGACCCGAACAACGGCGCGTTCGGTGCGGCGCTGCCTAGGCTGCTCTTCCGCCACCTCCCGCGCCACTACCCGGCGAACAGCGTCTACGCGCTCTTCCCGTTCTTCACGCCCGAGATCACGAAGACGAATCTCACGAAGCTTGGCATTGCGGATAAGTATGATTATAGCCGCCCCGTCGCGCAGCCCATCCCGAAGGTCCTCAATACGCTCACGGGCATTCGACATGTCTTTGCGGATCCGACGAAGTATATTCAGATCTACACACGGGACATGACAATGCTCACACGCGGATATGGTTTCATGCTCGTGTTTGACGAGAGGGAGAAGCACGACAGGGACCGTGCGTTCTGCTGGCACGCACTTGTTCCGGATGCACAGACAATGCAGGAGTATACGCAGTGGTACAAGCAGATGACGATCAAGCTTTTGAACGAGAAGAAGTTCACGTATGATGGTGTTCCGGGAACCTATGTGGACATCATTCGGGATGTCATCAACCTCGTATCGGTCCACTGGGCTGCAGACAAGCTCGTACGTGCAGCAGTTTTTTTGGTTTTTCACATCGAACTGACTTTGATCTATTTAGTGTGGTATTTCGCTCAAGACAAAGGCGACTCCCCGCGGCATCTTCACTGAGCAAGAGGTGTACACGATGTTCACTGTGCTCTTCATGTGTGTCTTCGAGAACGTCGCGCCTGAGCACGGCTGGACGTTGCGTGCGGCTGCCACTCAGATCGGTACTATTGTCAATGGTATCATTCAACAAAGCATCAACGAGGCTGCACCGAAGATTGCTATTGTAAGGTTCACGCTACTTCTCTAAATGCGCCAGAATGTTGAATTTTTTGTCATAGAACCCTTTCATCGGCCAAAAGAAGGAATGCGCGCCCTTCCTTTCCCGCCTCGCCGCTTCAGGCCGCCCCATTGACGAGCTCGTCGGCTGCGTCATCGGCCTCGCCGTCGGCTCCTCCGTCAACTTCGCCCAAGCCGCCGCGCAGGTTGTTGACTTCTACCTGCGCGAGGACCGCCAAAAGGAGTGCGCGGCACTCATCACTGCGTGCATGGCCCCGGACTCAGACAAGAACGCGATGGAGCTTGTGCGCGGGTACGTGCGTGAGGGAATGCGCCTCAATCCGCAGTTTGGAGGCCTGTTTAGGATCGCGACGGCGGATGATGTCGTACCCCAGGGCCAGGGCTTCCAGCCCATGCAGGTGAAGAAGGGTGATATGCTCTTCGCGAGCTTCAAGAATGCGCATCTCAACGTATGTCTCCTTATCTTATCAATCCTAATCTTCTCTCTGACAAAGGAATTGAATCCAGCCCGACGACTTCCCTGACCCTGAGACCGTGAATCCGCGCCGACCAAAGTCAAGCTACAACATCCAGGGCGCAGGCTTCCACGGCTGCCCAGGCGTCGACTTCGTCGCGGATACCATCCCGGAGATCATCCGCATCATCTTCCGCCTGCCTGACCTGAGGCGCGCGCCAGGCCCTGCGGGCGTCTGCGCGGGCTTCGCGCTGCACCAGTTCGATACGGATAACGACATGTATATCACGAGCACGGGGAATGTAAGCCCCTGGCCTGGGTCGTTGCAGGTTGTGGTGAGTTAAAGCCTTCCTGATCCGATGGGAAGATGCAGTTGCTGATTTCAATACTTCTAGTTCGACGGATCGCGCTAATTACAAAAGCTTTTCTTACTGTTGAGTTCATGCTCTATCTGCGCCCTCACACTGTGCTGTAATCATTGTCATGTCTATTACTGCTGTGTGCGTACGATTTGTCATCATATTTTGGGAAATGCATCGCGCTACTTCTTCCTCCCATTTGGTGTCTCGCTTCCAGATTTTGGTGTGTTACTCTCGAACAATTGCTTCACAGCGAAAATTGGCCTCAAGAGAGTAATGACGAAGGAGTCAGCTTAGTAAGTTCACTTCTTGCTTACAATTTTGGTCATTCATATTATGCTTGGTTTTCGAAACAAGCCCTGCCAAATCGTCTCTGCAGGGTAGCATGTCATTACCCACGCTCACTTCCTTCAATGAGCCCTCATGAGCATACCATTGGGAGTCTACATCATTTTGAATGTCACTCACTGCAACACGGCAAGCCTTCCGAGCAATGACGACAAGGATTCTTAGTAAATGCAGACTACCTAGTACGTGAATAGTCGATGGTTGCACGACTCTATTGTAACCGTCGACCATCTCCAGCACACCCGCCGACCTAGGACGGGTAGGAGCATGGGAAAGATGTCTTTCCTTGAATATGACATAGTTTTTGTTCTTGGGTGTTTTGTATTCACTTTTCACTAATATATTTGTTGTATTTGGCATTCACGACGCTGGCGTCGTTACAACTGAAAACTTTCTAAGAGCAAACTAGTACCAGTGCAGTCTCTTGGCCGATCCCCGAAGTGAGGGAAGGATAGGTTGAACAACCTTTCGACGTCCGAGCGGGCGAAGGGAGCTCGAGAGGGAGCTCGAGGCTGAGGATCAAGCTGGAAGGTCACGTGGACGTGGACGCATTGAGGTTTGTTCTGGACAAGCGCCAGAGCCGCGCCTCTTATCAGTACTCGTTCATCCAGTCTCCTTATCGAACGATCGACCGAAAGTTCATACTGCCGCTCTTTAGAGCTCTGACCTTATGCGACTGCAAAGAAAGTCCGTCAGTACCTGCGGGGATCACTGAATCAAGGTGGGTCTATGGCTGTAGACCGTTGAGGTGGTCTGCAATGATATGCATCGCCATCTCTACTCAAAGCTTCTGCTTTCAAAGCGCCTCGCAGAGCCCTGCAAGATTCGATCGGTGACAAGGCATATCTGGCGTACCTGAACCTCAAGAACGCGACATTCTTGCAGTAGCTTACAAGCCAAACAAAAGCCATTCCATCAAGCAAACTCAGAGTCAGTTCATGCATGCCAAACTGATGGACCGTCCGTGAATGTTCTAATACGCTACTCCAGATGTCTCTTGCCTACCTTCATGACGATGTACTGGCCGAACTCTTCACATACCTGAGCGCAAGGGATGCCTGCCGACTGTCCCTGACCTCAAAGCAGATCCACCCAATCGCAATGCAACGGGCGTGGTCAGTCGTCATTATAAGACGTTGTGCGCGAATCCAGGGAGTGTGCGAAGCAATGTTGAAGAAGCCTGCTTCCCGCATAGCCTATCTCCGTGAACTGCGTGTGGATTCGGACGCTCTCTGGGGTGCCGACAAGAACGTCTACTCGCAATTGGTGAAAGTGATACAGCATCCTTTAGCACTCAAGCTCAGGGTGCTACAGCTGGGAAATGTCGCCCAGCTCTTAGTTGACTTTCCGTCCCTCGTATTCGTATTGGCGTCGCTATCGGAACTCATACATCTTGAACTCGAGCGCGCCGGCCAGAATGCGCTCTCCATGATACAACGTCTTTCTGCGAGGCCTCGCACTTTACGCATTGATTTCTCCGGAGACCAGAACAATGCCATAGTCCCTCCGTCCCTGCTTTCCATTGATTCATTTTGGCCTTCACTCCTCCATCTCAGCATCTTATCGCTTAACGAACCCATAAAAACTTTTGCACGTGCCTTTCCCAACATCCGTAGACTGCAAGTGACCAGCGCGTACTCGTTTTCTTCGCCTTTGGGACAGAGTCCTTGTTGGACTAGTTTGGAGTTTCTTGACGCCGGCACTGCCAATACTTCCTTGGTTCGGGCAGTGAAATGCTTGGTTCGCCATTCCATGTTGGACATAGTCCGCTGCACAGATCATGGGAGCTCCATGATCTCCGTGGTGCGTGGGACTAACCCCGTAGTGTTATCGTTGTCATTGGGGATGCAAAGGACGCCCGGCATCTGGGGCCAGCTTGTCGATGTTGGTCAAAGGCTGAGGTATCTCATTCTCGTCATCAAGCCTGATCCACTGTTTACCACGCAAGAGTTCATCGAAGCGCTTGGTACCTGGAAGGTTCGTGTGCCGCTGAAGTTCTCACGTACATTGTAATGACGATTCTCATTGAACAGCCTGATGTATCGACAATTCTCGGCACGTCACAGATAGTTTGTATCCGGGTCCGCGTCACCTTTGTTGTGGACCCCGTCCGAGATGCCTTCCGAGATCTCCCTGAACATCTGTTGGACGCCATACCGACGCTACGCTATGTGGCCATGGATATGCCCGAACACAATTTCCCGACGCAGGAGTGGTACGATGACAGCTACGACGGCCACGAGTCATGCGGTTCGTGGTGGAGGGTAGAGGCGATAGATTCGAAAAGGTCACTCGTTCCTGTCCCAATCGAAGTGGGAGAAGCCGTGGATGGCTACTTAAAATCAGCTAGGTTTGAGAGTTCCCTTGACTTTGTTGATCCATTTCTTCCATCATGATCTACTTTTACAACTTGGTTGCCGACAGGTTCGTCTGTGGGAGGTGGCTTTAGGTACTGACATATATCAGGGCAATTTGATTCTGAGTTCGAGTCATCAAGTAATTTCGTTCATGTTCGCGTCCGAGTCAGATAGTACATGTAGCATTGTAAGAACAGGCCACAGTGATTGCACCCCTACTATGTGTAGCATTTTCGTATCAAGGCACAAGCTGCGAGCTTCAAGCTTTCAAATCTCAATTTCAAGGATCGAGCGTCCGCCCGCGTAGTAGCCGCGTAGATTACGGTTGACGCGCTGTTTGACTCGTTTCTCACCCCGAAGTCCGAAATTCCGTGCAGCGTCTGCGTACTCCTCGTGTCTATATCGTGGTGGACAGGCATGCTCTTCTTGACTTGACCAGTTTATAATGATCGGTGATGCATGTAGCCAGTGGTGCACGACGTCTGTCGCAACGAGGCATCAAATTTCAAACTTGAAGGTGCGATGCGATATAGCCTCGTGGTTACGTGCGTCATCTCTCACATCACTCGTATACTCAGAAGCTGCAGCTGCAGCTCGCTAGACCAACATTGGTCGACGTTTGGCCTCCACTCAGAAGCATGCTCCGTGCTACGAAATGGAAGCTTAGGAGAGCTCCCCCTGTGCCGGTCATACTGATCAATATGTGATGGCACTAATGGAGTAGACGGCGTTGTGCATCGTTGGGTCTTATCGTGGCAGATTGAAGTGCGTGTGAACAGCGTTTCATACGGAACATGCTCTCGTTGTGTGCCATGCTGTTTGCGCATGTCTGTCGTGTCCTACACATTTGGCTCAAACCGTATCTGCAGAGCACTATAGTACCACGTACTATTATTATTCGCTCTCACCTTTCCCTCCAATGAGCCCTCATGAGCATACCTTTGGGAGTCTACTTTATTTTGAACGTCGCTCACTGCAACATCGCAAGCCTCTGGAGCAATGACGACAAGGATCCTCTTAAATGCAGACTACCTGGTGCGATTACGGGCACGGAACAGGTAAGTTTCTTTCTCTCTGAGCCCTTGATTTGAACGGTCTGAGCTACGCCGTAGTGGGAGATCAGTCCATTACACTTCAATCTGCCTAATCGCAAACGCTATACGATCAAGAATGTCCACCACGGCCATTTCGCTTCATTCGAGAACGGTCCAATGCTCGGAGATGCCGTGTTTGGCACTCGTACCGAGAATTGGTGGGTAATCACACATATCGACATGGAGGGGGAATCCTCCGTGAAGGATGCGTACAGGTACGATCAGACTATCTAGATGTTTCATAAGCATATTGAGAAAGCATATCACAGCATCAAATGCTTCAATCGCCAGTCTGGGTTCTCATGGACTTTGATGGAGGAAGCAGACAACACACCGGTAGTAACACACGGTCTTCTGATCGCCGCTTGGCTCACATTTATAGTAGATCGAACTGCATCCATTCAATGACAGGGATCGACGATCGCTATGGAGGGTATGTACTGTTCTTATCGCCCTATAATTGGCGGCGCATTGATGGACATGCAGATCATTCCTCACCCTCAGCTCGAGGCTGTGTCCGAGATGCCAAGATCAATTCCATTTCACGATCAATCAATTTTGCAATTATCGAGTATATGGGATATGTCCGTTCAAAAACAGTATTCTTTCATTCGGCTTCTGATTTCACACAGTGAGCAGGAAACCGGTGCAGGCGCCGCTGGTGTAATATTCGAATGGATGCCCCTGCCGCAACATATCACGATCGAGTTCGTCGAGCCAGTTACGCTCAAAATGGGTGAACAGGCGATTGCTGGTATACAGATGAGCCTCTACAAAACAAATTTTGTATGTCTATCTGGTCTCATGCAATTGCGCGTGGGTCGTGTCACTTTGTGAGTCTCATACTAGAATAATGCACAAATGTCGGTACTCAACCATATAGACCTGAACTCCAAAATCTATTCAAAGGGTCAAGCGGGGAGACATTCTCGCTTGAGATCACCGGCTTCAAATACTACACCGACGAAAGTGCCCCCGATTCACCTGAGCGGAAGCACACCTATCATCTGCTATGGCGAAAAGATATCGTCTTCTGTGACTACCTTAGGAACAATTAATGCGAGTCCGTTTCTGTCAAACCGGGTTGGTCCGCGATCCATCCAGGCTTCTTGAGCAATAGAAAATGTAAGAACGAGAAGGAACGTCGCTCCGGGCGACTCAATCGCCGTCAAGCCGCTGTCTCACTCCTTGTTAGGGCAAAGTTCACAACAGGGGCAATAAAGTTGAAGCATCGCGTCCACGGCGTTTTATGTGCCCGTTATCGACGCGTTATCTGGTGTTCCACATTGTAGGTGCAGCGCGCCTTAGCTCATCGACAGCGCATTAAGGCGTAGCGCAATTTGGACTGAGCCCTAATTGGCACCACTTCCCACGTCATCGACCGGGCCTTCGATAACAGCGGCTTTTTCAAGCCCGACAGCTGGGAAGATATACCCGCCTGCCATTAATGCATTGCTTCCGACCGACAGAATCAGGGTATTTTCCCCATTTTACGAGAGCAGCCCACGTTCTTCGAGCAATGATACATCATATTACCGTTAGTTTGCTCGACGGTGGTCAGGTGACATCCTCCTACGAAGGCAAAGTGGCATGGTGTGGCTTCGTCGCTGTTACAGAATACCCCAGATGCACGATCAGGAGCCAACTGATGACACAGCTTGGCATATTCGCCTTGATGTAGTTCCTGATATTCCATAATGACCGCTTTCTACAGAGTTCCGTGGACATGGGATGAATGGAAGATGACCGCCATTCATCCGATTCGGTTCGGAAAGAGGGGCGAGCACTCTGCATTGCACGTCTCAGGACATTTAAAAGCAGGCCTCACCTAATCTCATTCCAACAATCCTTCGCTTCCATCATCAGCGTCTTGCTCAGTCGCAGGCATAGTGCGTACTGCTGCTGCACCGATTGATCGGCGTACGCTGACGATCTCGTCATCTGCAGTTGACATGGCGGATAAGGCCGGCTGGTATCGCTTCGTGCAAGTCACGAAATACGTCCGCGACGGACACAAGCTGTACCGCTCCTCAGCGCCGAACTATGTCCAGTCGGAGGGCGACAAGAGCCAGAAGCTCACGTCCACATCTGTGCAGTTTCTCACCAGCCAGAAGATCGACAATATCATCAGCTTCAACCAGTATATTTACACCGACAGCGAGAAGCAACTTCTGAAGAACGCAAACATCGACTATCTCCATCTTCCTATCGTAGACTTCTCTGCGCCGACGCTTGACCAGCTCCACAAAGCTATCACGTCCTACAAGGCTACGAATCATAAGAGCACCCTCGTTCATTGCGGCTATGGGCATGGTAGGACGGGCACTGGTGTGACAGCACTGCAGCTCGACTCCACGAGCGGGCAGAACCCACCTGAGTCGGAATGGGAATCAGTTAATCATGTGGAGGAAGATAAGCAGATAGAGGTATTGAGGCAGCTCAAGAAGGAGTACCAGAAGAGCGCGGAGCTGTAAGGGTGAGTCTTGATCTAGCATTTTTTGCTTTATCTGACCTTGGAGTCCCTTTATTTGGCAGCAGGAACGTCAGTGCGTTTGACTCTGTCGTAACGAAGCGCATGGCATCTGGTGTCTCGCCCACAGATAAATTGTCGCTGCGTTCGACTTGATTTTGTTTTGATTACACGTAAATGCATAATGCATCTCGTTCACCCAGTTTCGGGGAGTTCCTGAAGTGATTTCTGAGGCTGCCTTTCCGTTCCGCGTTATTGATAACTGGAAAAGTAGTGCAATACACCCGAATTGGTCAGAATTCGCAGCAGCCGCAGGGTACATAGAGGTCAGAGAGAACATACGAAGTTGTACAAGCAGAGCACGCTTGTCACTGTATCCTGTCGGTCAATGCGAGGTCTGCCGTCTCGATAGCAAGCCGAAATCCACGATAGTGCATACCAGGGAGCCACGGAAATATAGATGTGTTTTTCCTGACAGAAAATCGTCCCGATTCGCGACAATAGTTGGCAATGTCTTTGCAACATGCTGCTCTAGTAATAATGATGCGTTGCCGAGCATATGCCAAATCATGTTTAAGCCACATGGATTAGACGCGAATTGTTGATGACTGTTTTGGTGAAACTCTAGCTGGAGGCCTGGCCACCGAGCGCGACCTCGAGCTGCAACCGTCACCATCCTCGTCTGCCTACACTACTCGCTTTACCACCTGTTCTTCATTCGTGCACTGCGTGTATTACTTGCGCCGTATATTACCTGCGTATTTTACTTTTCGCTGCGAAACTATCAGCTCTGAGAGCACTCGATTGCGGACACCTCGACGACGCCTTTCGCTTATTTTACTCTCGGATATTCAGCTATATCAACAGCATCCTTCTCCGTTTCCTGACACACTCAGCGGTGACAGCTGGCGCGACCTGTCGCCTTCGCGACGCTCCCGTCCACCGACCGTTGGTCACCAGGTCTCGTCTCTCGTAGCTATATAACCCGCCCTCAAATTTTGATTGCTCTCCGATCAATCAAATTCACTCCGCTTCTGCAGTCATCAGGTCATGGCAGCGTCCTATTCTTCTCTCTTCGCCTCCGGGCTCTTCGCTCCTCTTCCTCAAGACAATGCTTCCCCTATTGATCCAACAGTCCCTCGACAATTATTGACTTCGCTCCATTCGTCCTCTTCCTCTTCACTGACGACCATCGGCGCAAACTCAATATCTGTACCCGCCAACGTCACGGCCGATTTGCCCCTGCATCATGCTTCGAATGCGAGCGTACGACCAAGCATGCGCCGTCGGCGTTCTTCCGTTGCGACGTCCATCACCGCATTTTCGTCTATGAATATCAAGAACTCGCGAGGCGGGCCATCTATGGGGAATCAATTGGGCCGAACGAGGAGTGGAAGCATCAGCGGGCATGTCGCTCGGTGAGTTCTTACCGAATCGCTCGATAAAATGCGTGTTTTGGCACTGACATGTATATGTCCTTTTTTGCGAATAGGCTTCGACGCGTCCCGCGGAGAGCGGCCCCGCCCCTCCTTGCGCCGCCCCCGAACGCACCACTTCCCGAGCTCCCGATCCCTTCTCCCATCAAGCCCAGCGGCTCAGATACACCTTCCGCATCTTCCGCCTCTGCCCCAGAACAGACGCATTCTACTACACCTCTTCCATTACTGGGTATCACCACGACTAATTACACGAACGTGGAGGTCCCAGCTATGCCCAAAAGACCGTCGCCACGCCGCACGTACACGCTCGATACTCTGCCTCCTCTCCCATCTCCCTCATTGCTCGATCCCTCTTCTTCGTTTCTGTCCATCTCTCCTGCGCAGTCACCGACATCCGCCGCATTCGCATCCGGTGTAGGCTACGCTTTCCCGTCGATGCTCGATCCAGCTGCTTTTGAGCCTGCGAGAGTCGACATGGAATCGGGGATGGACGTAGACTGCCCGAAACCGAGCGATGGTGAACGGATGGACTGATAGGATCATGATCAATTGCACGTTATGCGTGCGGTTTTGTCATGCCTTGCGCTTTTGGACGCGAGGTGTGTGGTGACTCCTGGCCATCCTCCGCTGTGCGGAGAAGACTATACTTAATCGTGGTTTTTGCATTTGCCCGCTTTCAAGTCCTATATCATTATTTGATAATCAAGGGTGATCATTACGGACCTTCATTCCGCCTCTTGCGCATCATGTATGCTCTAGTCAACCCTACTCGCTACGTTAACTACTAGTCTAGTGCTCCTATTCTAGATCTCCTAATCATAGTGCTTCCCGCCGATGTATTTCTATACTGTCTTGAGCATGATATTCTTCATGACTTAAACACTCCCCAGAATACACAAATTTTCTGAAGGAAAGCACATTTGCTGTTGCTGAGGCTTCTCTCAAAATCGAGTCCAGACGATTGAATCGTGGCTTCGATGACACACGGGTTCATGTCGATGTCCTTAGGTCTGCGTACCCTCGGTATAGGAATTTCTGATCGTACCCTACGTTTCGGGCAGACAAAGAATGCCTGAGCTACATTGAAAATTGAGGTCGCGTTCAAATGAGCGCCGTTGAGCGCTTGATGAGAGCGCCTGTCGCGAAGAGAGCGCTTATGTAAGTCAGCGCTATGGCATTGGATATCCTCAAAGACACCGCTGCGCATCTTGACATATCCGTGTTTCATTGTTCTTCCATGACATGTCATGATAGCCCGCTAGGCTATCTTGCACCGGGCATCGGGCATCGACGAGTCTGGACCTGGAACAACCCTTGTTCGTGACAGCAAACTGCGTTCATATGGCCACTAGTCATATAAGATCCGGTTTTGTTGAAAAAAATCCTAGCAGCAGGAATGTGCCCTGAACTGACAATGCTATGATCTTAAGGTGTCGTTTGTATCGCGTTCAGTAAGATCCAAAAAACCTGTATTGATGGATTGCTCCGTAGGGCTATTTTAGCTGCAAGGGTCGTAGCGTATGGCAGGGTGCATCAACGATTATTCTTCCTGATCCATTCAATCCGGCTTTGTCTCCTTTGACATACGTACGGCAGCCCGAATCAATGAATGTCATTTCGCGATACAATCTTCTCACGACGCCGTGAGGTAAGCACGAGGTTATCTCATGGTGGCAAAATGCGCAAGTCCGACACGCTTCGTTTCACCTTTTCCTACCACAGTCATTCATATCAAACGAACATGTCATCTGAAGCATTATTCACGCCAGGCATCGGGCAGCGCGTTAGGTGATCGTGAGATGAAACTCGTTGAAATCGAACATCGGCGATCAGGGCAAGCGGAAAGGCGGCTCAAGCCGGGTTGGTAAGGTCATGCAGGATTACACGTTGACTGGCTGTCCCTGTACCGTGTCCAATTGTTCGACCATCACAGGTGCGTGCCAGTCTAACCGATCCCGTTCAGCTGATTGAATGATGATCAATCATTGCTGTCAAGGACGAAGCACGAATAGCCACGCAATTCCATGCCTCATTGGATTATCGCGACTGCTTCCATACCTCTAACTCAATTGTTTGTTGGCGACATGCACGAGGAAAACATGAACATACTGACTCAGGTGTTTCAGAGGGGATATAGACCGCAATGTTTGATACTTTCTATGTCATTATATTGTCTTGCGCGAGCATCCCCAGCATTCACTCTCCTACCTTGTTCCAATGGTCTGGCCCAGCCTCAGAAGTCTGTCTCCCGGTATTTACACCATAACTAACCTCGCCTGCTACAACCGAGCAAACCTTCCGAATGACGATGAAAAAGCCAGCGTGACTTGCAAGATCCCCAGAAGGACTATGGACGCGGAGCAGGTCTGATACGCACAGCATCTTCGTTTTGCTTCGCTGACGGGCAATGGTTCCAAAGTGGGAAATCCAACCCTCGGAATCACAGAACGGCGGACGCTATACAATTAGGAACGTGAAGTATAATCAATATGCCTCATTTGAGATGAATCCAGAGGTCGCTTCGCCTGTGTTTGGAAGCCGAGGGGAGGGCTGGTGGGTCGTTACCGAGATGGACTCCAATCAATATGGCGAGGATACATACAGGTACGGTGGTATCCCATTTCATCTGTTTCTACCCTGACGGGACGTTCAAGTATCGTCTGTTACCATCACTCTGGTCTATCCTGGACGCTTCCAGATGAAGGAGACAATACACCCGTGAGTGCTGGGAATTCAACGATTGTATCCCCTCTTATTTTCGGAACAGATTGAACTTCATCCTTTTGCACGAGATCGTCGCTCCCTATGGAAGGTGACTACCTATTCAACGGCACTTTATCCAGCTTCTGATTAAAAAATCCAGATCGCGCCGTACCCTCCTCTGCCAAAACGACCATTTCCCTTCACGGACAGGTCGATTCTGTCGTTGCGCTCAGTCGAACAGACGTGTGTCTTTATCAACTCCTTGGCTATTTCCCTTCTGACCCATGCTCCACAGAGCGGACACACAGTACCTCCACGTGCAGTTTGAGTGGATAGCACTGCCTCCAAACACCGTGCTAGAATTCCCAGAGCCTCTCTTAATCGTATTTCACAGTGAAGTCATTGCTGAAGTGCAAGTCGAAGGTGAATTCAAAACAAATGGCCACATTCTTTTCGGTACTCTGAGGGCAGATGACACAAACGCGTGCGTCAGCTACGTTTAGTTGTGTCCATGTGGTGAATCATGCTGTGTCACAGGTTCGCATCGTTCGCATCGACGGTTGTACGTGACGATGATGTGCAAGTCTCCTTGGAGATCTACAAGTTCAAATACTACGCAGAAGAAACTCCCGAAAGCTCTCCTGACCGACAATATACCTATCGGCATGCATGGAAGAAGAACTTCACTTTTAAAGGTAATGCACTGCCTAAGGCCCTGCACGATCAAGCTTGTGCAACTCACTCTTTGAAGGTCTTCGTTCGTTCAGAGAAAGAGTGACGCTATGTGATTTCCGAATCACGGGCAGTGCCGATGACGATCATGGGCCGTACATGAAGTCAAGAGTCACAGTGAACATTGTCAATGCCTCGGTGTTTACCACTATGGCGACAATTTCTGTTGGAGTGTACATTGGTCAGACCAAGGTGCTCCCTTCTTTCATTCGTTGATGCAAGTCATGCGACTTATGCCCGATTCCGGCTCGTCAGATTGGCACAGGACACGCCAAGGTCTGCTTTGTGCATTCGCATCACAACATCACATTAAATAGTGGCTTTGATAGAATCTACAACTCCTTCCTGACACGAACACGATGAACGTCCAGTGGCAATATCGTCCTCTCAGTCCCGCCAACCAAGAGGTTCAGAACTTGATGGACCAATATTTCACGACCTCGCGCGACCTGCCCATCACGCTCAGCATAGAGAGCATGAGCGCCAACATCTGCGGCAACCTTGTGAACCTTCCGCGCTTCGACGTCGACACACGCATATCGGGGATAGGCATGCAATTCATACACCACGTGGACATCCACATCAGCGCTGTTGCCGCATTGTTACAGCGCCGGGTCTCGTTCTCGTTTGACATCGGTACGTTTCCCCTAACCCCACCGCGGGTGACGGCACCGTAACGCTGATGTGTGCACTGGCACAGAGAACCCCCTCGACGCGACCTTGGAGATACGCGATATCGAGCTCGACTGCTTTGTCAAGGGCGCGCATATCGCCAGCGTGAAACATCGTTTCTGGTCTCAGAATAAAAAGGCGCGGAATTTCATCATTCCGGTACGTCGGGTCCTTGGTCTGCGGGACTTTCAACTGACCTTCTTCGGACAGCCGAAGGAGAAGCAGACCAGTCCGCGGGTCCCGCATGCATGGCTTGTTGCAGACTTTGTGAAGACGATCCAGCTAGCTTGCGGCGGCGAAGCATTCCTGGATGTCAAAGTCAAGTCTGCCACTCTGCGGTGAGTTTGCAGCGGATCCATGTCTCTCACAAGACAACAGCTGAGCTCGGTGATTATCGCACAGAATCGACCGGTTCATACTGCAGGGGCTTACGTACAACCTGCACGATATCGAATTCAAGTGCGCGATAAATTCTTTGCATCGTTAATCATCCAAGCTTAATTGCTGATGTATCTCTTCAGACTGCATTGGTTTCATTGACGGCAAGATTCGGAAGGCTGCGGTGATTCATAGTATTGTATGTGCTTTGGATCACTCGCAATATCTACGTTCAGTTACGGCGGCGTACAAGACCGCTGGCTGCTTTCCGAAGTCAAAAATTGGACATTGCATGTTCACACGGAAGTAACAGGGTAGATAGACGTTATATATGTATGTACATACGTTCATCCCGTGCATCGCATGTCAATCATGCACATAATTGAATAGACATCGACGATCGACCGTCACCATTGCTCGCACTGCTGAAACGACCGCGTTTCGTCAGGATCAAGTTTCTCACATCTTTATGTCCCTACTCGGAGTTTGTCTATTTCAGTCGAGACGATCACTGCAGACTTTTCCTTCTAACTGTGTACTTCCCAGTCGATCCAGCTGACACGCTAATCGTCAATACAATTATCGTCACTACTGTGCCGAGTGCAGTCGCATGCGTCCTGCCTACTGTGGCCTGACATCAGCCAGATGAGAAGGTCGGACCAAATTCACAAACACAGAACGCTGCAGTGCGTCGACCAGCGTTTTGTTTTTTACTCACGGAAGCAATCGATTACGCATTCAGAATATTATGTCCGTGTGGAAGTACATGGGTGAGTATATATGTACTTGCGTACGTGTACGTGACTCATACGCCTGCGTATGGTGACGACTACAGTATAGCAAGATGTTCAATTCTTCTACTACTACCGCCGGGGAAGTACTATATCAACACGTGCGTGTACATTAAGAACAGCGTCCGGGCCATGGCCATGGGAAAGGCCGCGACGGTGCAAATGTTAGTTACGCAACCGCAGTCGCGGGGCTTGTCAAAATGTATGTAGAGCGTACAAGATTCATGAGATGTATAAGGCAGCTGCGAGGCGACCAAGTGCGCTTAGCAGGAATACGAGATAAAGGAGTCCGTGTGAAGGAGTCCGCGAGTCTCGGATGACTGATCAAGAATATTAGTTGGAACTCCGAGATGAGCTCCTCTAAGTTCGAATAGAGGCATGATTGAGGGGGGATAAGGGGATTGCTGACGTGGAGGCGGAGGGGAGAGCATTGCAAGACATTTCTGAAGGTTAGCCTGACGCAGGTCGGATGGACGGAGTCAGGGTGAAGGACCACAAGCACCAAAGAATATGACAGCCTGCATCGATGCACAAATTAGCAGCACTCCTCAGGCGACACACCAGGCCCACGTACCTAGGACGAACGCAGACGCATACATCGACTTCCAATGCAAGATCCATCGTGATCACTGATCACCACGTACGCTTCAGGCTCCAAAAAATCTAAAGGATAATCACCAAGAACAAGCACCAAGCATCACCGCTCTCCAGGCCGCATACACCCGCACCTCACTCCTCCATCCTCGCCTCAAACGCACACCCCGGACCCTCAACCGGGCTCGGGTAGTCCATCTGCACGCCCGTCTCCAAACCCGTGCCCAGCCCCTCGCGCTCCCTCACCGCAGGCTCGTACCCACCCAGACCCGGCGTGGACGGCACGCTCGGGAACCCATACCCATACTCAAACTCGCCCTGCATCTCCGCGGCGAGCTCAGACGCAGACGGCGTGAGCAGCGGGGACGAGACCGAATCTGCTGTGTATGCGCGCCGGAGAGCGGGACGCTTCGGCGGTGTTGCGATCGTCGGGAGCGGGAGGACGAGGGAAGGTGCTGGCTGGTCGGGCGTGGACACGGATGCGGTGGAGGACGTGGAGAACGTGTGTGCGTGAGAGGATGATGGCGGGAGTGCGGGCAGGGGCGCGTTCGGTGGCGGGGCAGGGAGGGGCGGCGCAGCTCTGCGCGGGAGGCGGCGGAGGCTAACGTGGGGGTAGCCATCAGCACACCAGGGCGCATATAGCCACCAGAAACGCGACTCACCGAGCGATATGCCCGCCTACACTCCCACTTCTCGTTCTTGCCAGCTGACCACCCACTGATGAGCCGACCCTCGATGGCAGCCCCACGCCAGCTACATGCGGCACCGACTGCGTCTGCCCGTGCCCAGGAGCATGGGCATCGTGCACACTGCCCGAGCGCGCGCGCGACACGAGCATCGTCTGCCGCGCGGAGGCGGGCTTGCTCTTCAGGGCGGCAGAGGGGTTGATCGACGTGGATACGGATGACTTGCGCCGCCGCATGTTCGGGCGCGGCGCCTCTGCAGCGGGTGGTGCGATGTGGGTCTGCATAGAGCTTTGGACGACGCTGCCATCAGAGCTTTCGTTGAGGCCTGTTAGGGAGAAGGAAGATGGGAGAGGTGTGAACGCCTGGCGCGGTGTGGTGGGGTCGAGTGGAGGGGCGTAATCATGTGGGAGAGGGGCAAACAAGCCGGAGGCAAACAGAGAAGAATAGGACGTCGACATATCGGTCTAATCGAACAGTTACTAAGATAGTTGACTAGGTACAAGTGAACCAGGTGGGGTAGAGGTAAGTGGTGGTTAGGTAGGAGCAGACAAGGGAGATCGGAAGCAATCGGGCAGTGGGGTTTAGGAGGACGAGGAGGTCAGCACCAGGCTACGGTCAGCAGCGCTGTGCGTGTCGGGTCGCTGGAGAGTGGCAGAGAATGGTGTTATTGTGGCGGAGCGCCGAAGGAGAGGAGGGAGCGGGCGTCGAGAGACGACAGTTTCAGCTACCTGGCGATGCACGCGTGCGGATATCTCTCGACACGGAACTTACTATGATCCGGGAGGATAATTGGGATTGCAGACAGGACAGGCGCGGTTGGGCTGTGGAGTCTGGACGAAACACGATCGACAACTGATGGCAACTGGTACGAAGGGACTGCACCGCAAAGAGCGAGGAGGAGGAGGAGGAGGAGGAGGAGGAGGGGACTTTAAGTGCTGCGTGGATGACGGCTGCGGCTCAAGGTCGTGGGTGAACGCTGTCGGCGGGAGGAGGAACGAACGCGCACAGCTCTCGCTTGGGGAACATGCAATCCAAACAACGCATCAACAATCCACGCCTAATTCACGTGGCTCATCAATTTCCCTCATAGCCTGCGGCGCCAACTTGGAAGCGACAACTGCATTCGAGCTTCCTGTCATGAAAACTGGTTCAGGAATGTACCTAGCATTTATACGAACAGTACAGGACTATCAGCCTCATTCTTGTGGCTTATCGGCTATTCGTATCGAGACTCGCAGCTTCCTGCTCGCTGTTGCGAAGATGAGTCCTGAAGTACTCGCAGCGTTCTCTGCCCGGATCCCACCGAAAGTGGTCCAATGATTGTCGCTAAGCCTCGCGCGTCATGAATTCCAGATCAGACTAGACCACAGGATAACAGCAGTAAATATAGACTACTCTGGATAATGATGGATGTCACATTGCATGCAATTGCATTGAGAAGCGCGCGACAGACCAGGTTCAATCCGACTGCATGCAGTGATGCCGACGGCGTATCACTCCATATCCACTGCCCGAACCTGCTCAACGTAAGTTTCAAGGAACCATACGAGGTGATTATTTGCGTCGCTGAGCTTCTTGACGACAAGCTACGCGAGTATGAGCACATTGCTAAGTTCACTATCCGGCAGGACAGAGTGGTAAACTTGCCTTCGTGAACATATGATTGCCCTCGGATTTAGGACGCACGTTAGTATAAATCGCACGCATATCCGAGTTGATCTGGTTGGTATATGGTCAGCGAAAGACATGCAGTGGAAAAGCGCACGCTGACCGTCTGCCAAATATTGACGATGAAATTCGTCTTGAAAGAAATGTCGGCGATGGCGGCCTTCGTTTCTCCCAAATCCTGACGGAACTTCTTCATTTCGTGGCGACGAATCCGACCTTCATAGCGACTTGCGTTTGAACTGATGTTCTGGCACGCTGAAGTTCCGGTCAGTCAGAGCAACAAACGTTCACAAGTGGAATCTTGGGTACGATTGCCTATATCCCCATCTAGGAAGTTCTGCACTACTCGACGGACCATGGAGGAAATCCCATCGAGTTCATTGAATCTCATGACCACCCCGGCGACGTCATCCTGCTTGTCCTTCATCTGCTGAAGGTATTAGTCAAACGTTTGAGTACCATCATCTGATCAGTTTGGTTTTGTATGACAAACCGAAATGAAACTCTCCAGCTCCAGGCGCAGATCGTTTCGGTCACCTTGCTCGACCTCACCGAAAACCGAACTCATGTCTGTAGTAGGTTCCAGCATCAGTTTGACAATAGTGATGATGATGAAATTGCCGCACTTCGCATTATGACAAGAACCTGAACCGCCTGCGCTTGGCTGTACTGAACCGCATCATCGAAGACCTACAGTATATCCCACCTTGATTAGCGCAGTGCCAATGAATTGCGACAATCCTCACGCACCTTCATATACTGTTGCCATTCCTTTCCTAACTGGATAACCGCGCCGCCTGTGTTCCTGATCTCCGCACTATCGAATGCGATGACATCACGCGCGATCCTGAGGCAATTGGCTCTGACGTTCCGGATCGTCTGCGAGAGCACGCTGACGTCCTCGTACGCCTTCGTCGTCTTTGTCGTCTTCGGGTCATGAGGTATGCACATGCCAGTTCCAGCTATCTGATGGTCCTGGGCAGGTGCTACGGTTTGTTCCACCGGTTTCGGTGTCACTGCCCTGGTGGACTGCAGCGCTGTAGATTGTGGTTGGCGCGTCCATTCAGAAATACCATTAGCATTATTCGCAACCGTTTCCTGTGCACTGCAAGAGATCAGACTTTAAGATAAGGACGGAGTGTACTGAAGAAACATTACCCAGTCCTTAATGACTGTGATCGATCATGAGGTATGCGCATGCCAGTTCCAGCTATCTGATGGTCCTGAGTAGGTGCTACGGTTTGGTCCACCGGTTTCGGTGTCACTGCCCTGGTGGGCTGCAGCGTGGTAAATTGTAGTTGGCTCGTCCATTCAGAAATACCATTAGCATTATTCGCAACCGTTTCCTGTGCACTGCAAGAGATCAGACTTTAAGATAAGGACTGAGTACACCGAGGAAACAATTACCCAGTCCTTAATGACTGTGATCGACCATGAGGTATGCGCATGCCAGTTCCAGCTAGCTGACGGTCCTGAGTAGGTGCTACGGTTTCGTCCACTGTTTTCGATCTCACTGCCTTGTTGGATTGCAGTGCGGTGTATTGTGGTTGGCGCGTCGATTCAGATATAACATTATCATTATTTGCAACCGTTTCCTGTGCACTGCAAGAGATCAGACTGTAAGATAAGGACGGAATACGATTGGAAAGTCGTTACCCAGTCCTTAATGACTGTGATGTTGATCGATCATGAGGAGGAGCTGGCTTTGATATCTCCGACGAGACCTCGGGCTGAGATCGCGGGATGATCTAAACGTCGATCAATATACTGCGGTCGTTCATAGCGGGACAGTGAGGACGCCGAACGCACCCACCAAAGCGATCGCTGGCTCTTCGTGAACGGATGCAGCTCTATCTGACTCAGGTGTGAGCAACACAGCATTTAGAAGGATTGTAAGCCGCGCTTACTGGTGTTTCGTCCGCTCCCTCCATGAGTGTCCACGAGAGATCCGACTGGCCATCGTAGCACGCGATGCTGCGGCGTATGTTCTCAATGCACTTGTCAAGATCGGAGTAATCTACGCGAGACACATACCTGTAAGCGTTCTTCTCAAATGACTCTTGGCCCGTATCGATGCGTGTGATAACCCACCACCTCTCGGTGCGACTCCCAAACACAGGCGTACCACGCGCAGGATTGAACGCGAAGGCAGCGTAATTGCCGTGCTTCACATTCTTTATCGTGTATCGCTGGCAATTAGGTGGGTTTCTAGCTGATGGAGTGATTTCCCACTTCAGCCTCGCTCAGCACCGTCGAATTCATTGGAAAAGTGCGCGAATACTACCTGCTCAATCGGCACGATCTCCTTGGGAATTCTACATGTGACATGATCTTTGTCGTCACTGCTCGGAAGGCTTGCCCTGTTACAGTGAGCGACGTTCAAAATGATGTAGATTCCAAGCGGGAGAGAGCTCATGAGGACACGGGCAAGAGGGGTGAGGATGAACGTGCTTCACAATCACTGGACCAATGAGCCATTCCCCAGCTACGATCCGAGCCCGATTCCTTTGTCCGGCCCGTGTCGGGCATGCGCACGCAGCATGGCATGGAAATCGGAGCATGTGCTATATGCGATCAAGAAGCCAGCAATTCATACCTGCCATGAGATCTGCCACGATAGGAGGACACAATGCGGACCGATGTGTGCACCCTGAACGCTATATGTATACTTGGCGGTCGCAATTTGCTGGCAGATTCTTCGGTGCCTCCATAAGTCATCAGGAAAACTCAAATCTGGCTTATCATCCTTTTATCCGCTTGCCATCACCAAATAAGACAGGAAGTCCGAGAAAGTCTCAGGACCTCCTTGTTTTGGACTTTTCTCCACATTGCGAGGCGAGCTTCTTATCGTGTGCTTATTTGGCTTGTACAAGCCAAAACAAGCGAGAACAAGTCAGAAAGGAGGTTCTCGAGCCACAAGTCAATTTGAGTTTTCCTGATGAACGTGATCTACATTCAAATTATTGAGCAACAAAGGACACCGAGCACGAATGTTTGATGCAAAAAAGGTCTGAAAGTTCCGTCGATCAACAAGTCCCCGATGTTCCCGTCCCGCGATAATCATGTGCAGGCACACGATTCAAGTCGAGAGGTTAATGATACCGATGCAGTAGCAGATGGCCTCACATGCACCGATCACAAGCCAACAGCATTCAATTTCAGAGCGAATGAAGTCACATCACGTCTGCCGTGTAGAGGCGGGCTTGTTTATCAAGGTGCCGAAGGCATCGATGAACAAGGATACAGATGACTTGCGCCGCGCCGCGGACTCGTTTCGTCCATAGCAGGAGAAGCCGTGTAAGCAGAGTTGAAGTCAACGTCGTCCAGCGTTCAAGTTGGCGCGGGCGACTCGGAGTCTATTGCATAAGTGCTCGGTGCACAAGTCACTGCCTGTGATAGCTATTGCCTAGTCGTTTGTGGCCCTAACCGGCGTCTCACTCCTTGCGCCCATGAGACCTGAGGAAGGTGGCGGCTGCCGGCTCATGCTGGGGCTGCACCATAATTTTCTAGATGTTTGCTGCTCGATGATTAGACTCACAGAAACACACCCATTTGACTCTTAACGTGGGCCAAAATCACTTTCAGTGCAATTTTGGAAACTTCTGCTTCTCAAATGAGTCACGCAGGCACTTAGCGAAAACTGCTGCCCTGCTTCAAGACATAGTTTTTCGCTGCTTAGTGTGTCCATTCAAATGACGCATCATCCATACTATCGCTCATTCGCCCGATCCCAGACAATTCCGAACAACAGGAGTGCATATAGATGATAGATGAAAGCTGTCACAGCGACAGATACAAGTCCACTGTGTAATTCCCGAATCAACCTGTAGTTTCGATATCGCTTAAGTATCTGACTGCATTCAATGCCAATGGCATACCACTTCACGTGCACTGGCACTGCCCGACCTGTTCAACATACGTTCGGAGAAGCCCCAGGAGGCGGTTATAGACTTTCTGTGCATTCTTCAGCTTGCCCATGAAGAACTACGTAAGTGTTAGGGACAATTTGCATTCGCTTACGGATGACACGGGCAGGGATACTTACTTTATTCAAACGGGCTCCTTTCCTTACACTCGGCCCCAATGTCTCGTGAATATCATGTAAATCCAAGCGGATCTAGGAGCATGTGTGTCTGTCAGCTCGTACAAACATGCTTTTTGAACCGGTATACAGACCGTCTGCCAAATGTTAGCGATAATTTTAATCTTGACGGAGACATTCTCGACGGTATCAAGAAGATGATGGCGGCCATCCAATTCTTTAATTTGCTGCTCTGATAGTGCAATGTCTTTCAGAAGTGCTGACGTCCCGGTCAATCAGAATCAATGATCTTTGCACCACCTAAAATGTGAGATTACTGACCCTCCCTCTCATTTCGTACCTCATAGATTGAAACGCAATTGGGTACAGCCCAAAGAATGGAACCCTGTGCAACTTTGGATCAGAAAGCAGATATCCTGCAAGCTATCGACGCACCACAGCGGAAATTAGAACACTTGGACTGAGAGTGAAAATGGCTGTCACGGCCGCGCCAACCCCTCCGGCGACCGCTGTAACCACCTCGATAGCCAGTGCATGAAGCTGACAAATCATTTGAATGTGAACATTTATCTCGTCACGCAAGGAGCAGCAGAATCCTTACCCGATCATTCAAACTGTGGTCCGTAAATGTCGTAAACACCTGATCATCAGACCGGAGGATGAATGAAGATGAAAATGGACTCACGCGGAAAGTTTGTTGCGAAGTTCATCCAAGTGAGCCCTTTCCCTTTCAAGAACGTTCGCAGTGCGCTCTTCCGTATGGCCTAACGCAGCATCAAGCCGTTCCGAGAATATGTGTACCTTGTCGGCGATGACGCTGAAGTCAGTGTTGAAAGAAAGTGCCTTCGTTTCCTTCTCCTTGACCGTCTGAGTGAACGCAAGTTAGTTGATTTAGCCTTAACGTTAGTTTGAATGACAAACCTCTATGAGATCCTCAAGCTCCTGACGCAGTTCTTCTCCATCGCCTTCGTTGACAATGTTAAATACCGCGCATAAATCTGTAATAGGCACAACCATCAGCAAGTTAACAACCGTAGTGGCAGGAGAAATGTCATACTCTTCAAGATGACAACAGCATCAGTTGCCTGCGTAAGGCTATTCTGGACTATTTCATCAAAGCGCTACAACAAGACATCGCCCCATTGCGTTAGCTACACCGAGAGACTCCCACAATGATTGCATACCTGTATGTACTTCTGCCATTCATCGCTCAGCTGACTGAGCTTTTGATCGCTTCTGATTACATTGCGTCGAGCGAGGTCTCCGGCAACCTCCATAAAGCCGGCTCTAATGTCTCGGATCGTGTCCGCAAGCCTCTTGATGTCCTTGAAGTCGTCTTCTTGACTAAGCGCTTTGTCGATGACATTAGCAGCTTCCTGCTTGGAGTCGTCGTCCGGTAACGCAGTTTGAACATCTAACTTGGCGTCTTGCTGAATCCTGTTCCATTGAGGACTGAGGGAGGAAACCGTTCGTGTGGTCGACATTGATTCTGAAGGACGTGGAGCTGAAGAGTGGGTGATAGATGTGGGTATGTCGCAAAGGAGACTTTTATGAGGCCGTGCTCATTAGATCTTCCGGGCGAGCAGAACATGGAAGGGTGACACACCTGATCTGGGCACAAACGGCGTGTCTGGACAGCTGTGATTACACAAACGACAGAATGTGGCCATGTTCGACAAGCAAAACGCATGGCAACCCCGTTTGTCGCCGGATTACCTCGTGCTTGTGGCTGCAAGGTGCGTGTTCGTGGTTATAATGGGGTTCTCGAATTCATTTCGCCCGGTGCATGGGAGCTTCACGCGCCTTAGCAATGATATGACTGTTCTGTTTCTTAAGATCACCTGCCATGTCGGTGCCATATCACTTCTCCAGGGAAACTTAGGTTTGCACACAGCATCTCAGTGAGCTCGCCATTACACTCACCTGAGTGTGTACCGTCTAGACTCTGGAGGCATGTTCACTGAGAATGGGGTGTCATTGCACTGAAGCCTTTCGATATGGAAGGAGGCCTCGTTGCCAATATGACTTCGCAGCTTCACATAGAAGGTGTCTTGATTAGAAGGTGTCTTGATGAACCTAATATTTACAGAAGAAAGATCAGCTGTCGCTTCTCCTCGCTATGCCCGAAAACAACCTAGAAGCCTCATTGAATAGGCAACGTGCAGGGATGCAGGATGGGCAACATGTAGGTCTCGGTAGCTTAACTTCAACTCGCTCTGCTGACATTGAGACCGCTTTCACCATGCATTGTGCATCCTTCCAAGACACCTCTACGGCGCGTTTGCGGCATGGCATCGATGTGTGTGAACAATGCACTGGCTCATGTGTTAATGAATAGCAAACGCCATGGATGATGCCCTGATATCTTTATATGTGCAGAGAACTCACGAACAATAGAATGCTACATGATGGAGGAAGCGTGTTGACGCCACCTTCCTGGAGCAATATTGAATCAGCATTGTAGGGTGATGCACGGAGAAAACTCAAAGGCATTACATCACGGTGAATAACAACGAACGTCATGCCATATTTGGCTGATCAACGTGGAAGAAGGAGAATGTGCCATAGCAGCTGCAGAATTCAGGACGCCTTGAGCGACGCCCATGGACAATACAGGCAAGCAGGTGTCGAGCCTTCTGTTTCAAAGTGAGACATCACCTTGCATGTGATAAAGCCAGCAGGACGTGAGTGCCTTTTCTCCACCACAATTGGCGCCGTGCTGGAAGCTATTTATCACCACGCACGCTATTGCTCAACTCGCCTGTCTAGTCTCAGAGCTCTTTGGATACTTACAATGGCTGCCCCAGTTTTTAACACCGATATGCGTGGAGTCGGAGAAAAACTGAGAGACATACGCACCCAGGTCGTCGACTTGATCATCCCTGTCCAGAATATCAATGAATATGCCGACGTTGAGCTCTCCACTACCTGGAGTGCACTTCTTCGCGTTTGTTATAATCTCTATATCTCTACAGAGAGTCGTTGGTATTCACATCATGCATTCATGTCAGATATTGGACGATACGTGCCAAGCGACGAAGGAGACTGAGATCGAACTCCAGAATATTATCGTTCGTAAGCACAGATCCGTGACCTGCTCTCGTATGCCCGATACTGAACTTGTGCGTCAGAGTACCTCATGGTACATAGTGAGATCAATAACAAAGATTTGATTGCGGACATCATCGCAGAGTTTTCTATCCAGTCTCAGGTATCGGCGGAGCCCTATCTCACCTCACTTCGATGGGCTATATGATTTAATTCTGTAGAAACTCCAAGACAACGCCAAGCAAGCAGGTCAAATTGCAAATGTCGAGGCCCTCAAGGAGGGCCTCATGGGGGTCAAGTCGCAGTTCGATTCTGTCGTCAAAGACGGGAATGAGAAAATCGACGCCACATTGGAAGAGGCAACCGCACACGTGGCGAACCTCAAGGAGAAGGCATCAAAGATCGAGAAGAAGGTAGAATGCAGCGCAAAGGAAGCACCATTCATTGCTGATGCCGTCATAATCAGCTCTTTGAAGTGCAACGTTCTCACAATCTAAGCAGTGTCGGGCATCAGGACAGGACCGGCCTCTTTACAAGTCGATGGACAAAATTGCCTAGAATCCGTCACAATGAGAAACATGAGGAGCCGGAGACGGGAAACATGGAGCACATCGAATCAGACCATATCTCTCCACCTACGAGTAAGGAAGAACTTGAGGCTGAACTCACCGGTGGGTTTCGTTCCGTTTGATGACACCCCTCGCATGTTCAACGCAAATGGAAGGTAGATGCACGCAAGGAGCTCAAGGACGCGCTAGAAGCGGAGATCAATGCAAAGCGAAAGATCGTTGCACGCAACAGCATCAGAATCACTGAGACGCAGGCCAAGTTCGGAAAACTCGATAACGACCTTTCGGGCTTACTTGACGAGGAGCAGAAACTCTTAAATGCATGGAATGCTGTATGTTTTGATGCCATCTTGCCATGACTGTGTGCTAACTGAATTAGATGGCCAAAGAGGTGGCGGAGTATCTCAGCCTGTTAGAGAAGAGCCGAGACGACGATACAAAGGTACGCTTGGCTTCCCAGGCTATATGGTGGATGGAGATGCTTAGTACAATTGCGGCTTGTGATATCTCTAGGAAGCGCAGCACTCACTGTATAAACACATACACAAGGTCAGCTCTACGAAAGAGAAGTTGATGCAATTCGCCGAATCACTCAAACACTCCGCATATGATCTCTGAGGCCCTCCACCTGTTATTGCAATCATCCATGTTGATAGTGCCTGTATGCATAATCTGAGGCCTGACTATGGCAATGCCGCTGCTGCTTTGCTGCGAGAGTTTGTTACTCGACAAGTGCTGGCATTGCCGCAGGAGGCGTCTTGCCCTCGAGTCTTCGTTAAGCAAAAGGATGGATGCGCCCTCGGATGACTGATATATTGCTCAGGAAGACAGGACAAAGCAGATGGCTAGGGTCCATGGAGTCCGAAGGTTAGTCGAAGAACGAACGTTGAACATTCAAAGAACGGTCGTCATCTAGCCGTGACTGCGACGCGTGTGACATTCGATCAGGTGGTACAGGACAGGACCCCCGAAAATTCCCCAAGAGATTAGATCCCCGAGACCCCCCGAGGGGGGGGTCTCCGGCGCGAAATGTTCGATGCCAATACCCCAAATCCGACCCTCTGCGGCCAAAAATGTTCGATGCCAATACCCCAAATCCGACCGTCTGCGGCCAAAAATGTTCATCCAAAACAGACCCCATATGGGACCAATTCGGGCTCAGGTTCGATCCCGAATGACCCCACTTTCATCGAGGACGATGGTGTTCCAACGATTTTTTCACGATTTTTTCATCATTTTTTCCCGATTTCTTTACGATTTCATCCAAATTTGTCCGATTGTTTTGATCCCAAATCGACCCCAAATCGACCCCGTTTGGGAGGAGGTTCGGTCCAAAAAAACACCCCACTTCGGACCGTTTTCGAGACCCCATATCGAGCCTCAGCGGGATCGAAGCTCTTGGGGGATTTTCCGGGGTCCTGGTGGTACATAGCCTGTGTAGCGCCCGAGAAATCATACTGAACGCGGAAACGGAGGTCGATAAAAGACGGAATGCCATGACCGTACAGTAACCCCCGGGGGGAGGGGAGGGTTGGCCACAATTTCTTTTTCGTCGGGCGAGCCACGTGACGCGTGACGGACCGACGAACAACTTCAGATAGATATTGGTTCGGAAGCTGCATGGACCATGCCGCCAACGTGATAGTCTCCCGTGGGCAGACGAGACACTCTGATTCCTTCAACCCCCGCGGGTTCCGGATATCCTTGTCTGGCAATGCACGTCCTTCCAGGTCTTTCCCGGCGCCCAATTGCCAATCTTCCGAGCAATCTTTCGCCGTGTCTTCTGAAGTGTCAGCTTCATCATTCTATTCCCAACACTATCCGACTTCTACGGCATGCCCTCTTCTTCCGACATAAGGCATGCTTGTGTTGTCAGACATACAATTGCCCTTGACTAAGGACCGGTGACCGGTGACCTTTGCGGAGCGGTTGTTGAATGTGTCTCTTCTGATTATGCACTGAACTCATGTATTCGTCGCTAGAAAAGAAATTCCCGCAGTGCGCTCGTTATTCAGGACGTCGATAAGTTGGATCATCGACAACAAATCATTGACCTGAGACAACTGGACAGTCTAATGTTCTCGTCCCCGTCGCTGCCAACTAGACAGTCTCGTTTCAACTGCGCGCAGGTACTGTTCATCTTTTCGGATACCCTTATTGATACAATTGCTCCAGCGCCGACAATTACTTTCCGGATGTTCATTTCAATCAAACTTCTTATCAGGTCTGGAAATTTCCATCATGGGCTGCACATACCACACTTATTTGATACTGGCCACGATCCATAGGACTAACAGTTTCTGCGAGTGCGCTTGGAGTCATTGGTGACTCCATTCGACCCCATTTTGTGATGCGAAGAAAAATGCCTGAGCGAAGGTTTCACGCACGGTTGAAGCTCTTATTTAGATGCTGCGTCCTTCATAGCGTCCCCCTTCAATATGAGACGATGTCCGATTCGTCACATTAGGCATACGTGGTTTGCACGTTGGTCGCTTATTGTGCATTAGGTACGTCCTGATGATGCTCTCAACTAGGTCAGATGACTGGATGACATTGATGTCTAGGACCGGCGGACTGTACGTGACCATTTATGCATCTAAAGCTGACGATTGGCTTCAATCTCATTCGCCATGGCTCTTAGAGGCCACTAGTATCTCTCGCACTCCAGCTGACCGCTTGTGCAGAGCCTGCCGGCCGGTGCTGGATCATGCCGTCTTCGAGTAACGCTGCGCGTGGTTGTTGTGAGTTAATACATATGTGAAGGGTAACTGAGTGGGATGAATCATCTATCCTTCCGGGGTTTCATTAGTCTCCTGAGTGGTGGATCCAACGATCTGCGGCGAACTCTGCTCCGAATGTATGTCAGTTTCGCTAGCAGTCAGATGCAGCAAGTCCGAACCATGCTGTAGCTGGACGATGATTGTGCGAGGGTATAAGATGCAAGGGGGGGACTAAAATGTTCTACAAGATATTGATTCCGATGTATTGCTCTAACTGACCAACTGGCTTCTACAATGCAGTATCCATTGATATGAGCCAGACCCAAGGGTACCATAGGCCCCTCCTGGACGCATGACGCTCCTTGGACGTGGTAGTGGAGTCCGTCGCAATATTGGATGACAAGTCATCTTCGTGGAACTTTCAGAGATGCGGCTCACGGCTCTGCAATGCATTTATTGATCAGCGACACGTCCTGGAGGTTCTTTCGTTTACTCACATTGATATCGCATTCAAGTCTGCCATTTTGTCTTGGCCCATCCACTGAAACGACAACCAAATCACAACCATAGGCTTAACGAATCTCGTTGAAAAACTTGCACATGCCGGCGAGTCGTTGCTCCCACTTGGTTTGTCGACCAATACGATAACATCATTCAACCCGACAGCCGTAGGTTCCCGCTCACTATAGTTTTACATCGAGAAGCCATGGATCCGCTTACTAGGGTCGCATGATATGTTGTATCAAGGTGCTCTCGCGCTATTCCTCACTCCCAGCGCTGCCCTATATATCGCGATACTGAAGCTCAGGTTTGTCTCGACTTCTACTTCGTAAGAAATGATGCTTCGCACTTGAATCACGTTTCTTCGACTTCGATGTCTAATCTATACCACGTATCGCTTTCAAACTTCATTTCAGTAACAATGGGTACTATCACAAGAAATACATGCAATCAAACAGTATATCATGAAGGGGGCAAACAATACAACAGCTCGGGGCCACCAACAAGTCATAGCCTACTAACTGCATGCGCCGTTACACTCGAACTCGAGTGAATTGCCAGTGATTGCGGGGATCAGTGTATGATGCCGACAAAGTCAACTAACATATGGACATAACTATCAGGAGACCGAAGGGCGCGGGACAATATCAAGAACATACGGGTGTTCCCTCTTGATCATCGACCAGACCCCAGCAAAGCTGAGAATCCGTGGGAGAGATCCTGAACGGTCGTTAGGGACAGCATGTTCAAGAAGAAAGCAAGATGCGTACGTATATAGTCCTTTCTTCCTCGTCTCTGAAATGCTGAACTGTTGTTTGTTCGCTCTCCCAACCACTTCTGCTCCATCAGACGGACGGAAGCCGGTATTCGCGTACGAGGCATGAGTCTGATTCTCAATTGTATACTTCCCATTGCCTAGTTGGACCACATTCCACTAACAAATGGGAATGAGCACGTCGGTCACGATGAGCTAGTGCCAAAACAACAAACCCTCCTGGCTTGATCAGCCTCCTCAGCAGTGGCTACGATGGAAGTGCCATCATCGGGATCCGGGAGGGTCAGGAAGTTCATGGTGCGGACATTCTGAATAATGTATCTGCCTGTGTCGAGAGACATTCTGATTGAGCAGGAGACAAGGGTGAGACGGGGACACAGGGGAAGACGAAAACGGCCAGTTATATGTACCCCCTTCTCGTCGCGGGCGCATGCCTAATCTGATCGTCGGAGACCACCTGCGTCTGTGAAATTTCCTCGTCCGTTCCAATATCGGTGCTGGATGCACCATCATGGTATATCCGTTTCAAGCGACTGGTCTATACGATGTGCTAGGAACCAGATATCCATCGATATCTTCGGCGCGTGCTTCCCTTTACTGTATTTGCCTGCCGTTTAGACGAATGCAATGTAGAGAACCTGCGACAAAAGTGGCGATATGATCATCTTTTACCCTGACGGGCAGTGGATCTGCGCCATTTGCAAATTATGTCTACCTGCTCGGATATAATTGTATGCTTCCTGAGATTCCGCCAACCTCTACTTCAATGGACCGCCGTAGTTAATATGCGAAGCTGCTACGCGTGTGCAGATTCGCGGAGACCATCTATGCATTTGCGCAGCCTCACACGACGAGGGATTTATGGTCACTATATCACCATGTGCGAATGATCAGCTGATCCGCGTACCAGCCATTGTAACAGCTGACGCGGAGCCATTTTGGAGGCGGGCACAATCCGATAAGAAATGTCATGTGGGATCAGCGTTACAGTGCTTACCAATAACAGTCATGGACGATGAACGTTCCATCATGCTTCGTACTTGCTCGAATGCTAGGCAGGGCGAAACATTGAGCAACAATACATTTGGTGTAAATGGTGGGATCGACAGCGCGGAGAATGAAGAGACTCGTGTCTGATCAGGAATCTTCTGGAGTGCCAGATGGAACGCACCTGCATAGGACCATGAGGAAGGGTCGCTGGCTCAAATGAAGTGTCCCAACAATTCAAGTTCACGCTGCAACCCCACGCTGCAAACGTTAACGTTATCTTGTTCCATCGAGCTAATTGGGAACGCGGCTCGAGAGATAGTCGGAACAGCAAGACAGCTAGAAGAACGGAGCTAGCACAAGCCTAGAGCATTACTATTATTTTGTGGTGAGCAGAATGGCAAATCGGAGGCAATGGGAACGTGCGTCCCGGTCAGAGCGCCCCGCGTTTCAATTGCAAGGCAGCATGTGAACAGCTGATATGAAGCTTCGTTAATATCGATGGATCTGCCTCCATGATGATAACGCACGATATTTGCCACCTTCATCGCTTCTTAAATGTCCAAACGGATTCCTGTATGTAGCAGCATTCAGTGAATCCAGTCACAATGACAGCTGGCAGCAGGGAATCCGACAAATCGTAGTAATCGCGTTCATCGCCGTGGGAGTTGTGGCATCGATCAGATTGCCCTAGAGAAGTGCAGTGAGGCCGCTTTGACACCCGTGTCAGTACTCACCATATGGCGAGGCGACTATAGGAGGAAAGCACACATGCCATGCAATGTGATTGGGAACTTTGAATCACTTGACTTGGCAAGCTCGTCTACCACACAGGATGAACCGGAACATCACTTCATGCTGGTGTGATACTTCTATTCATCGATTATGGAGTCCGCCTACGTCGGAATATGGACTTGACTCGTTGGGAGACGCGCGACACACGAAACCAGCATTCAGAGCACCGGTTGACGGCACGACCTAGCTAGATTTGAGGACGCAATTCTGCCACGAGAGCATTGACCCCTCGATATAGCGTGTACAGTCTGTAAAACATACCGCAGGAGCTCGTCCTAGCGAGCGAAGAATCTTGTAGGGAATAAACAATGCTTCTAAGTCGGATGTGCACATTCCTCGCAATTTGAATCCTGATTCAAGTCGGACTCAGTCGAATGCAGTGATTTAGCCACCGTTCGCCCAGCTCGGGCGATATCTGCTTCAGGTGCACATCTTCCCTCTTGCGAAGAATCTTCCGGTAGACAAGCGCATCGGCGAATTTGTACAACAACCGGCAGCGATAATAAGCTGATGACATCCTATTCTGAAATATCTTGCTCTTTAGAGTCGACGACGTATAAATGGTCATGAGTCTCCTATAATCCGGAGATGAAGGGGTGTAATCCGTAGTAAACCGAGCAAGGAAGGATCTCTGCCTAAAAGCGCATGTCAATGATTATATGAGTGAATAATGTCTTAACTGGTACCGTCCAGCTGTCGATATATGTCGCAATGCTCGGTGCGACGGATGCCAGTCATTATTTCTTGCTTAGTACTCTGTATCCCCTGGAATCATGACGTGTCTCCGGTCGGCGTCTCCACATTCAGAATTACTGGAAGGCTGCAGCTACCGTCTTTGCTGCTGCAAAACCCCTTTCGCGATGCATGTCGACGTCGACAGTGGCGAGTGACAACTCAAGCCAATGGACGGAAGAGCCGGATGCTGCATTCCACTGAATGAGGTCGACATGATATCCGCATTTATAGTCCAGATGGCGTCAAGTTGTTCCGTCGTCAACCGTATCAGCAGCAGGCTGCAGTCAGCTGTGCACATTGCCTTGCAAGCGTTATGTGGAAATGTCAGGAAAGGCACGTACAGATACCGATCGCGGTACATAACAGATGGAGATGCTCAGCTCGTGTAGACTGGGTCGTGTGTCCAAATTGGGCATGCCGTCTTCAAATATTGATAGTGCAGGTCATACAACTTAATGGTGAGGAGTGATACCCAAGGTGAGGGATATCATCTGGGGTCAAAAGCAAAACACTCCAGGGTGATTGCTCTAGGTCTGCGTTGCAACTGACCCGTGTGGTCACTGATCAGACATCTAAGACGATACTCCAGTATCAGTACGCAACGATGCTCGACATGACATTATCATCAAGCCGTATGGCTTGCATAGCGATCAGAATCCGTGGCAGAGCTCTGTGAACAGTAAGGGTAGACAAGAACCGGTCGATGAGAACCAGAGCGCGATGTTGATGGTTAAGGAGCGCAAGAGTATCGATATTGGTGGAAATTACTGTGTCCATGCCTGTGGCCGAAAAGACCGCAGATAGTTAGCAGCCACCGGAAAGGTCTAAGAGACGCACGGCCAAGTCCAACAATTTTCGTCGATCGCTTAGAACGTCGAACTTCGAAGATGACAGTGGGAAAATAACACCCGACTAGCGCCTAATGGCTAAGCGCCTCAGACGTCCAAATATACTGTTCCTCGGACCCCATCGTTCTGTCCACCACTCGAAATTCAGGCTGTGGAATGACTGAAATAGACCCCTTTCGTGATCTTTGGCTCAGTTACAAACAAGCAAGATCTCCGTTCACCACTCTGACCAAGTCTCCGGTGGACTAGTCACTAGATATATATTCGCCGATGACCGCGAGCGACTTGCACTAACCGGAAGTTCGTACGGTTCAAGCCTAGTTCCTTCAGGCATTACTTCGTCGTAGCACATGCAGATCCATATATTTCGTGGCTCCTGTCGGGTGCTCAGTGGTGCCTCAAATGCTACTAGTATGCCATCCACATGTTTTTCCACTCATTGCTGCTTCATCTCTTTGTTCCACTCACTATATGGACACTCAGAACTTACATGACGACTCCACAAATGTGCAGGTTGTTGAAATCTGTTTTATTTGTCGAGCATAATGCATGTCACTCAAATCACAATATTCCAGTCACGGTGCAGCTGTCCCGGCCGCACAAAAAAGACTCTATAAGGCCCTGTTCATACAGCAGCTCTACTGATGTCATAGCGTTTTCATGTGGAGTCATAGTCCGCTGGACGCACGCACACTCACACTGTGTCTAGATTCGAGCTACAGGGATGATATGCAACTCCTCCCATAACAGGTGCCATCAAGACCTCTACCACTGCTTCACGATGGGCTGAGCGAACAATCTACATTGTCATGCAATAAAAATGACCTAAAAATCCCAGTGGGTCAGCCCTCTGTAGGTTCAACTAAATGCGGCCAGCGCTCAGCAAGATGGACGCACGTATACATTGTGCGCTCTTCACACCGCTTAAGCCACCTTCTCAGCTTCTTAGTGCAGGAAGCTGCTGTGTTCTTCCCGCTGTCCGTCAAATCTAGACGTGACTCACCGTGCACGTCTCGGCGATCACTTCACTACTGCAACGGAAAGTTTCATTCTCATTCACAATTGGTATGTTCAATGATGCATACAGCGTGTCTCATGTATCTACTACGCGCTGACACTTCAATAGAAAACCCTCTGGATACTATGCTAGAGATATGTGCTATTGCCGTTGACGTGCATATCAAATAAGGCTCCAACTATTTATACTATTTACACTGCTGAGGTGTAAATAAATAGTATATAGTAAACAGTTATCTATATGTCATATAAACAGTTTATATAAAGTTTATATAGTTTTTTTTGGTCCCATCTTTTGATGGAGTTTTACTCAACTGTGAGCAGCCTCTGTGATTGTTGGGGCCTTTAAGGACCTGTAGCACATGACAGTGAGCAGAAAACAAGCATTCAATGTCAACACTTGCACCAGGAATGACCAGAAAATCTTATGTCATACAAGAAATGACAAGAAACTCATGTTCATGAACCTACATGATGATACACTGTCAATGGTGACTTCTGTTAAACACTATGACTTTTAATTGGCTCACTGTGGTGCTGTCAAATCTAGCAATTGTGCACTCAATAGCCCTATATCATCGTAAAACTATTTATACTATATATATACATCTATTTACTATGTACAGACCCAACTGTAAATAAACAGATATAGTAAACGGTTAAAACTATGTAACATAGTAAATAGATAGAAATGTTGGAGCCTTAATATCAAAGGAGCGCATATAGCTACTGTCAAGCATTCCTTCGACGGCAGCAAGACACATTTCATTATTCCAGTAAGCGGCTTTGCCGAAGAACTGGCTATGCGTGTAGGGCTAATCATGTCATAGCCTAGGAATTCAGTCTAAAGCCCCAAAGTACCCCAAGCCTGGCTTGTGGCCGGATTTGTGAAAACACTGCAGCTAGCTATGGACACCAAGGCATGCCTGGATGTGAGGGTCAAATCCATGGACTTGCGGTCAGTGACAGCGACACGTAATCTGCCATCGGCAAACTAAATGCGGAACGTGCAGCATCGATCAATTCCACTTGCAAGGGCTTAAATTCACTCTGCCAGACATCAATTTCACGTATGTCATGATATAATTTACTCATTGTGGGTTATAACATTGCTGGCAGGATCAACTGGTTCACTTAAACGGCCGACTACCGAAATTGTCGATGAACCGTGGACCGTGGTCACTTGCTGCTCCGGTTATGATTCCTCAGTTCTCTTCAGGCGCCTTACGCTTTTTGTCTCAGAAATCTCTATGCTATACATTCTGGACACTTATATAACGAGAGCCATGCAATACGTGATATGAGTATCGCGATTCGAGTCGTTGGCTGTTGAAAAGCTCGTGCTTTAGAATCGGAGCGCGAGGCTTCGGACGGCTTGAACGCCACATTTTTGATGCCACTGTCCGAGTGAGCGGCGATTGGGTCCAGAAGGGAAAACTCACAATGTCTTCTCTGACGCGTAGATTCTGATCAGAAACAACCACAATGCGCTGTTCCGCGTAATTATCGTGTCACTGCGCTAGGTGGGCATGATCGACCGGCATAGTGTTGCACATTGAATCCCGCCGAATATGTTATTTTCTGAGATTTGCCAAATATTTTTATTCTACAATCCAGCTAGAAATGTAGCCCTAGCTAGCGGCTATATCTCACCAAACGTCGCGCCCCGCCAGTGCGTAGTAGTTATACCTAGACTTCAAGTTGACGTTAGGTGCGATCCGGTCTATATCTTCCGGTGGCGACTGTGATCAAGATTTGGGTGGAAGTTGCGTCAGCCGCATCTCAGGTGCTGGCAATATCTGACCCCAACACGCAGTGGACTCGTCCACAACCCGATCGCTTGTATGTGGACTCTACAAAACTCGCCGTTCAGGCTCAGATGAAGAATATTATCTGCGCCTCCACCTCTTATTAGATTGCACTCATAAACTCTTGCAGATGTTCTGCCTGGGGCAATCAGCGTAACGTCTAGCCACTTCTGATTGACAGATGCACTCACTCGGTGCTGGATTTGTTTGTAGCAATACAGGAGCAGAGCGTTGACGCGGAGGTGCATGAAACGTCGCATCTGAGATACCTCTGATAGCAACCAATGGCATGCATGTTCACATTTACCATGCCGTGTTCGTCTTTCATATATTGATTGCAGCTAGTTTAGCGGTCATGCGAAGCTCAACACGAAGATATCGGTATCTTAGAACGGTCAGCTATGTGCACGAATCAAGGTTTATGATCAGTGCTGTGCGGCCGGCATATTCCGACTCTGTGGTCTTGAAGGCTGTGCGCAAACGAGCAGCAAACGTCTTCATAGTGATACACATACACTTCAGAAATGGCACTCTCCGGGATCTTCACCATTATGAATGCGTCCTCGCCATACTACGCAAGAATCGAGGAAGACAGTGATGGTGCTGGCTTGACGGGTGCCCTCTCGGAACGTAACCGTATCATTGACGCAGCGAAAGTAATGAAACTCAGATTTGCATGTTAGCCTTTCGCTGACGCCTTCATGATATACTTGACAGTGGCTATTAGTCCCTGCAGAACCTGGCAATACGACAGATGCCCACCAACGCTATAAAATCAAGAATGTCGCGCACTCCCGATATGCAGTGTCGGATTATACTCGATCTCCCGGTGCACCTGTCTTCAGTAGTAACAGAGAAAACTTTCAGTGGTGGATTATCAAAAAGGAGGACCCAATCTCATGTGGAGAAGATGTATACAGGTAAGGCACACCGCATATTGGCGCAAGGCCTCTCAATGGCAATCACCTCAGTATTGTGCATAATGATCACCGAGACATGTCCTGGAGGTTGCCGAACGATGACAACGGTGCACCGGTGAATAGTCCCACGAAATGCGCCGGCAGTTTTACTAATGAGTATGATCATAAGATCGAGCTTCATCTTCCATCGAAAGACCGTCACTCTCTCTGGAAGGTCAGGAATCAGGATTATTTAAAGGTGCCTTGCTGGCTTACATAGAAGTACTGTTGCAGATCACACCCTATCCTCCTCCACCAGAATCCGGCGCGAATAGACTGCCATTCGAAGACAAATCGATTCTGACTCTGACTTCAGTGGAACAAAAGTCTGCTTTTTTATTGATAGTCAGATTGATGTCGTGGTTCCATGCTGACATCAGACTTGCAGATTTGATGACGAAGAAGACGGTCTCGCCGTAACATTACGATGGGAACGGTTGCCTCCCTACTGCCTAGAATTCCTCGAACCACTTTTGGTGAAACATCGAAATGTAGTAATCGCGATCTTGCAGGTACAGGCCCCATTCAGGTCAAGCTCTCAGGATCTTTCCGCGATCCTACGTATGAGGGACAATACTGCGTAAGCTGTTTCTATTTTCGACCTTCAGCAACAACATCTAACTGAAACCATAGTTTCGATATCTTTGCTGCCACGGTGCTTTACAATAATGCTGTCGAAGTCACTGTGGAGATTGGAAGATTTAAGCTCTATCCTGAGGACTCCCCCATCACTGCAGCTCTTCCACAATATGAGTACCACTACGTGTGGCGGAAGCCTTTAGTCTTCGAAAGTATGTGTCATCTGTTCGGGGTATGTTGAGAAATGGTTTACTTGAAATCTCTGGCAGGTCTTCATTCCTTCCGAGAAGGTATCACCTTGAGAAATCTCCAGATCACAGGGAGCGGCCGGGATACCTTCGGGCAATTCATACGCTCGTCGGTAATTATCGATGTGACGAATGTCTCCTGCCTCAATCTCAGAGCTTCTATGACGATTGGTATATACGTCGGTAATTCCAAGGTTGTCATTCGAAGGAATGACGTGAAACGGTTGCTAACGATGATATCTCCGCTTCCAGATCGGTGCCGCCGAAGTTAAGGTTTGAAAATCACTCTTCAATAATGGTCTGATGCGAATACTGAAGTTATGACTACATGCAGGACTTGAAATCTGCCCCAGGAAAAAAGGTGGAACACAAACTTCAGTGGAAACTCCGGCCTTTCAATCCAGTCAATCACGATTTTCGAGCCGTCATAAACCAATACATCACCAAGGAAACCCAGGTGCCCATTTTGCTGAAAGTCGAGAACATCAGTACAACGATTTGCGGGCATTTAATCAATCTGCCGCGGTTCGAAATCAACACGTATATCCAAGGAATAGCATCGAAGGTTATACCTCATGTCGACGTATATATACACCTTGTGCCTGTTCTGCTCCGACGCAGGGTATCATTCAGATTCGATATTGGTATTCGCATTACCAGCCCCATACTGCTACTTCCGCTGATGCAAGTTATCCGGTCTTCAAGATAATCCTCTGGATACGATGCTGGAGATTTGCAAAATTAGACTGGACGTTTCCGTCAGAGGCGCGCATATTGCAAATGTCTCACACGATTTCAATGAGAATGGCCAGTCTTTCATCATTAAGGTGCGATATCAGTCCATGCCCCATTGTCGACTCTTTCGAAGACGGTCTCTATGTCAGGCCAGAGATAAAGTCCGCAGTCCGATGGTTCCACATGCATGGCTAGATGCAGGCTACCTGAAAGCGTTGCAGCTAGCTGTCGATCGCAGAGCCTGTCTGGATGTCAAGGTGAAGTCTGCCATTCTGAGGTATGTGATGTTGCTCGACGATCAGGGAAACAATCTTGTGATGTGATGTTTTTGCACGCATAAAGGGTTGATCAGTTCGAACTGAGTGGCTTGGAGTTCACGTTTTATGAACTACCTTTCAAGTGAGCGATGCAACTTCGGCAAACTGACTAATGCTCATGCCAGTGCATGACCGAAGAATTCATTGGTTCTAATCACTCATCGGTGATTTGCGTCTGTGTGAGTATGAGTGGACACTCAAGCAGGTCCGGCTCGCATACTCACGCAATATCTGTCACTCATAGAGTCATCGTGTTCATAGTTGTATTAGTATGTTAATACCTTTGCCGAACCCAGGGTTGAGGAGGACTACAGGTAATAATGGTAGGTCCCCTCTATGCGTACTGAAGTGCACATGCACTTATGTTATGTCCGAGAATTCAAGGTCCCCGTCGGGTATCCGTCGGAGGTGTGCAGGGCATCGATATAATTAGCACGTACTACTCTATCGCCGATAAACGAACTGGATGCGCCGGAATGCTCCTTGCCGTCTTGTGCAGCGCGTGCTTGACCACGTCGATCTTGGATCTTCCGGTCGGGCAGCAGACCAACATGCTCCGAAGTAAAAGTACCATGTACATATAAGCGATCTGTGCATACGTTGACCCATTTCAGTCGTCTTGGCATTAGCAATCCACGCTCTTGGAACCGATTTTCATCATCTTGAATCGTTCTGCATGCCATGGAAGTGATAGCAATAATTGACTAGCTGTTTGTTCCTCTGTCTGAACGGGCGGAACTTGTTGCCAGATGAACGCAGTGTTCGATGTTCGATAACTTTACGAAGCGGAAATTTAGTCGATGTTTGTTCCGCAATTCTCGGAAAAAGAAAGGTATTCACAACCCGGGATTCTACTACTAATAGTAGACCAGGGATGAGAAACGACACATTTCGTACGTCCATAGCAGCATCATTCACGACTGACCTTCCTTCGACTTGCAGCTAGCGAGACGCATATGTAAGTGTCACAATTTGGCGGAACGCATGGAAACAGCCCGAACACGCGTGGTCGTCGCGGACGCGACGCGGCAGGCGCGCCTGTGGCAAAGCGGAGACGGGCGCTTATTTCATCCTTTCCTCGTTCCGCCCATACGGCTCAGTGGTCTCGTCCTGCCTCGTTGCTCCTAGCAAGACTCCGTCGCTGTCGACCCAAATTACTCGAAATATGGTGAACAAGAAGACGAAGCAGGCAAGAAGGAGGCAACAGGCGAAGGCCGCAGCAGCCAGCAGCAGCCGGACTGGCAGTGACGGGTACGTAATTCTATTATCATGCCTTGCGATGCTCCAATTGAGCGCATGGGCAGATATGAAAGCCCTATGGAGGTCGACCAGCCTGACGTTGATCATGCTGAACAATTGGAGACAGTAGACGTGCAGCCTGAGCTCGAGGAGGACCTAATCAAGCTCGCGGAGAAGGTCAAGGAAAAGGGCAATACCGCTTTCAGATCGAAGCGATTTACGGATGCCATAGAATCATATTCTAGGGCTATCGGTGAATAGATTAAACCTGCATCTTCTATGACTCTTCTTCATGCGCCGCCATCAGTGTTAAATCCCGCAGAGCCGACGTATCTCACAAATCGAGCTGCGGCCTACATGGCCCTGAAGAAATTCAAGCTTGCTCTCTCGGACTGCCAACAAGCGGCCAATCTTCAATCAGAATCTCCGTCAGCGAAGACACTGATCCGTCTAGCTCGTTGTCAGCTATCCACTGGGTCGACAACACCAGCTCTGTCGACTCTTCGCGCTGTGCTTGATCTCGAGCCTAACAATACGGCAGCGTTGCAACTGCAAAAGAAGGTTCTCGAACTGGAGGCGCATCTACGGAACTTTCAGGGCGCAAAGAGCAGGCAGGACTGGGCGATGGCGCGGCTTGCGCTGGACAAGTGCGTGCAGGCCATCGAAGCGGAAGGAGGAGATATACCAATACAGTGGAAATTGGGACGAATTGAGCTTGAGCTGGCACGGAAAAACTGGGATGCGGCTGGCGTCGCGGCCAGGTGAGTTGTGTGGCGCCCTTGCGTACGCTTGCACCCTCATCGATGGCGTCGCGCTCTCCAGTGAAGCACTGCGCCTGGAGCCCACCTCACCAGATGTACTGGCCCTCCGAGGGTTGGTCCTCTTCCTGACTGCAAAGACCGCGCAGGCACTACAGCATGTGCAGTCTGCTCTGCGTCTGGACCCCGGACACGAAGTCGCTCAACGATTACGGAAGCGGATTAAGGACGTTGAACGATTGAAGGAGGAGGGCAACGTTGCCTTCAAGGCCGGCCGCTTGCAGGAAGCCACCGAAAGGTATTCCGAGGCGCTTGATGTGAGGAGATTGCTTTTAGGCTAGTCGGCGATCATTGACATGATTGCTCAGCGCATCGGTGAGGAGGATAAGGAAGGGAACGGTGGACAGATCCGCGCTATCCTCCTGTCGAACCGCGCCACGACACTAGTGAAGGTCCGTAGGTGTACTCGGAACCCTAGCATCCCTTGGCGCTTAATTTCGTATTTCGGTGGCCATAGCTCGAGCAATACGAAGAGGCTCTTCAAGACACCGAAGAATCTCTTCGCTTATACCCTGCATCGTTCAAAGCGCTCCGTACGCGCGCTCGCATCAATTTGCATTTGGAAAAATACGACACCGCGATAGCCGACTTCAAGTCGGCCATCGAGCAGGCCGAGTTCGAAGGCAACGATGCGGACGTGAAAGCATTGCGGTCTGAGCTCAAGAAGGCCGAGCTGGCGCTCAAACGGAGCAAATCAAAGGACTACTACAAAATCCTCGGTACGTGCGCCACAAGGCTTAACCTTCACCCGATACTCAAAGTGGCGACAGGTGTTTCGAAGGAAGCGACGGAGGTGGAGATTAAGAAGGCCTACAGGCGGGAGAGTCTCAAGCACCATCCAGACAAGGTAGCGATCTGCATCCCACTCATGCGCCGGTCGCCTGTTTACTGATTCGTTTTTGACTAGGGCGGTGAAGAGGAGAAGTTCAAGCTCGTCGTTGAGGCACACTCTGTGCTGTCGGATCCGCACCGCCGGCAGCGTTACGACATGGGCGATGACGAAGATGTGATGGACTCGATGGGCGGTATGAACGGCATGCACGGCATGGACCTGAACGATATCTTTGCGCAGTTTGGCGGTGGAGGATTTGCTTTCAGAAGCGGTGGCGGTGGGTTCAGCAGCAATTATAGCGGAGGGTACGGACAGTATGGGTTTTGATGCGTCCGTACTTCTTTGCCTATATCGAACCCGTGATGTGGCTGCTGCCTAGCAGGATTCGCATGTACTCGATCTTTTATCGCTCATTGCTCCTCTTAGCTGCTACATATATTTGCATGTGCAGGTGACCGTTTGTCTTGTCTGCCATATATACAACTGATCCACAAGCATACGATGCACCATCAGATTGGCAGACTCTCTGTTCTTTAGTATTCAAGTTGCTCATCTACCGTGCCGAGTGACACCATCCTTAGACAAAGTACTAGTGAATAGATTCGTCGCCCATGTGTATCACTTCCACGGGATATACAAGCTAGTGAGACTCGCCTCCAACAAGACGGTAAGAGATCTCCGGCTCGCAGATATGTATCAACTCGCGGATGCTCAAGATGCTCGCCCCGCCTGTCTCGTCCCCCGAGCTCCGGCGTTCCTCGTAATCAGCAGGAGCCATCAGAACCGGCATCTCAAAGGCACAGAACTCCTGCATGACTTGACGACACAGTCCACATGGACTGATTGGCCGTGGAACGTCGCTTTGTGAGGACAAGCATTGTCGACATTCGCTGTGTGCCTGTTTACTAGATTTGAAGACGCTTACCTGACAATGGCTATGGCCGCGAAGGATCGGATCCCCTCACTCTGTGACCAATGAATTTGATTCTATTAAGCAGATTGAGAAAAGAAGCCGGCTCACCACGGCCTTCACAATGGCAGTCCTTTCCGCACAGACAGCGCCTATGATTTCTTTCCGTTTAATATGCATTCAGGTCGCTATTTGATCAGGCCCAGCTCACCGGATGAGACGCAATCGATGCTAGCACCCTTAATGATTTCACCATTCTCAGAGAGAAGGGCCGCCCCGACTGGAAACTTGGGGTGAAATGGAGAGCTGTATGCGAAGGCTTTCGCTAGACAGATCGTTTATTTAGTGGTGCTGTCTGGCATATAAGATCAGGCGCCATAATCTCTTGTATGGCATGAATGTGGAGTATCATCGTCCAACTTGAACAAATGTGCTCCGTCCCTACCTTCGAAAGCCGCCTTGATCAGTGCATCGCGATCTATCGCAAGATTGCTCGACATTCCGATGGATATTGTTCCCGGCCAGAAAATAACGGATAGCTGGTGAGATTCCCGGCACGATGTGAAGGAAAGGCTCGCGAGCTACGTTAAGTTGGGAACGAACCACCGCAATTCCTAAATAGGCAGAGCTGTGCGCCGCTTGGATTCCTGTGGCGCTGAGCGCTTGAGCGCTCAGTTTCAGTGAAGTTCAGTCCAAGCGCGAGAAACGAGCACTAGGACGAACGCTTGCTTACTAAGCAGGCAAGAGCGGAAGAGACGCGCTCACCTGACGTACGCGCGCTACGCCTCTTCCTCATCGCCACGATATTCGCTACCAATGCTGTGTAGTGCATTCTTTACCCACCCTCCCAACTCCTTGTTTTCTTAGCATGTAGCAGTGGTGTAGTTGTGCCTCCCTCGTCAGGCAGCTACGCAGCCGCTGTACGCTCGAGAGTTTCGGCTTAAACGCGCTCGGAAGCCCTGAATCGTCAGCCAGCGAATCAGGAGCCTGGCCACAGTTGCCAGGACCCCGGACACTCTCTATCCAGACCCCGAGAACTGCTACTCGCGTGGATGCACAAACCACGCGTTCGCCCAGCCGAAACCTCTCCCCCCACACCATTCACTCTTCCTCACATCGCAAGCGACTGCCAAGCTTAGGAAGCCGCAGCTCGGCGACTCCGGCGTTTCAATATATGACTGCCATTTGATGCCTTTTATTTCTTTTTTTGTTGCGATTGATGTTTTGTCTCTGTTTCGCTGGGGAGCGAGCTTCAGAGCTGCCAATGTGTATGGTGAAAGGATACTAGTTGTATTAACAGGGTGATGAATTTCGTCGGCTGTTGCAGTACGCACAAAACATATCCACCGTGCTTTTTGACAATGCAGCAGACACGAAAAAGGACCTCGGTGAGGTGGGCTGAAATTTCTCGCTGTGCTTCTACTTACTTACTGCTATCGCTCCGAGTCCCTTGATAGACTTCAATGGTCTTCAATCCTGTCTCATAAGGGATTTTTGACATGCCTTCCAGGCGAGGTGACTGACGTCTCTGCCTGCGATCTGTAGGTGTGACTCGAGAATATATCACCCCAGCATGAACACTCCATAGAAGTTGAGAAATTTTAATTTATTCAGCCTTTGAGTTTGCGCCGTCGCGGCTCGCGGTCCTCATTTTGTTCGCGGAGTTCGGGATATCCTTCATATTTGGAAAAAGACGAAATGTCATTTACGTCCTATTAGATCAAGCAGCCCAGAGTTGCATTCAAACGTGCCGGTTTAGTACGTCACTCCGCGGACATTCGTCTCTTACATGGAACATGGCATATTGCACAACAAGCATCGCATACAAAACAGTCACATTCGAATAGTATCAAGTTCTCAATAAACTCTCGTACACAGTGCAATACCACAAGACCAGCGTACTGGTCTTCTGATGCTCTCGCCGAATGCTGACCTTAGACCTTAGCGAAGACCCACTTGTTGGACGAGTCAGTGGGGTACTGGCGGAGGGTGACCTATCGAGTGGTCAGTTCGAACGCTGTATGAGACATGGTACTGAAAACTTACGGAAGTGCCGACCTCTCCGTTGTCGAAGCCCCAGAAGAGGTCGTTGTTGGTCAAGACGATGCTGCAAAATCGTCGGTATTCCGAAGCATGATATATATCCAATAAAGTACGTACTTATACTGGCCAGAGGTGGTGGTCTCAACGATCTTGAATTCATGAACGTTGGACTTAGAAACAACAGCATCCTGCAATTGTCCAGGATAGCCGGTGTTCGCAAACTTGCTTGAATACTTGATGCTTTCGATCTTGTAACGTCCGTTCCCCACCGCGGTCACCTTCCACTAAAAGGAACAGATGAGATGCATGCAGTCTGCTGCAGATTCGACATTCGCTTGCCTGTGCGTTAGCATCACTGCTGGAGCTTCCAGCATTCAGAGGAGTCCCCTCGTTGTTGTTCGCGAGGGTGATGTAGCCGTGGGTGTAGGCGTTCTGGATGGTGTAAGTGCCGTTCTCGATAGCCATGTCTGATCGTGCGGATGCGAATAGATGACTGTGGGTTGGGCTTTATTGCGTTGCGAGGTAGGTTCTTTTATACTCTTCTGGCTGTCGCTTTGGGACTCCTACCAGGCCTGGATTTGGACAGAAGATGTGAGGTACCTGTGGCTGCGCACGCGTACGCAAGAGCACGTTGCGATTCCGCAATGCCATGAACGTATACTTCTGGTGACAGAAAACAAGTATGCAATCATGTCTCACGCGGTGCTCAGCTCCGGATTGACATGCCTTCTATTCCTCAGACGTCTCGTTCATTAATAGCACACTAACCAAGTTCAGCGTTCTCAATAATCCCAGCCAGATCGTTGGTGCGTGCAGGAGCATGCGGTCGACATAAGGCGTGGTTGTGAGCGCCAGATCACATGAAATCGGTCAAGTTCTGCGCCTATCGAATTTTCTACGGTGATTCTCAACGACCGTCACCGCATGCGGCATTAACATGGACTTCCATGCCTCAAACTGTATGTGCGGTCCGAGCCTATTGTTGTATCTGTCGTGACGTTTGATCACGCTATATTATGATGCTCAGCAGGGTTTTGAAGACGATGTACGGTGCGAACGAACCACCGACGTTAATGCACGCAATTGAGGCAACTTAGAATTGAACATGCTGTTGTAGAGGGGACGATCCTCATTTTCTCATGAATGATTACGTGAAATGCAGCGGGCAATGTTCTGTTGACATGCTGCATGCTTGAGGCATCTGATACAGGTCCACCCACTGCGTTTGAATGATCACCATGAAGTGCGACACGACAGTTCAAAGGTGCTTTTGTAATGTATCAAAGGCCTTCATGGCACCTCGGCATGGCGCATGAGTTTCTCCACCGGATAACTTTCCAGGTTATGGTTTTGGCTGTAATCATTTGTCGTTTTCGGCTCCGTTGTCGACTTGGAGCATACGACCTAAGAAGTTCCACATTGCATGTGCTCCGTTGGAGAGCAGTTGAAAATCTACATACGACATGCAGTACTTTCGGCGCGAAGCCGTACCTTGACTGTTCTGACACCGCCCACGGTTTTATACGATCAAGATATGTCTCCTCGCTCAGGTTTTCGAAGGTTTAAACCTTGATAAACACAGTATAGTGGACCAGATTTGTACTCGTGCGGAAATCTACACCCCTGACCCTTGAGCAGGATTTATTGGCTATGACCGATGAAGTTAGAATCAACGTGGTTCTTCTGACCGGGTGGATGCCATGCTTGAATATAAACACAACACTTGTTCCATGGTGTTCGATGCCCGTAAAGAGCACGGTAGGGAAAAGGACTATCTGTGGCAATTCAACTTTTGCATACAGGCGATGCAAGAAAAAGCGGTTATTCCACAGGTCAAGTTTCATCCCAGCAAGCCTCGTCACTTTAGTCCCTCCTGGCAATAGTCAGTTTAAGCTCGATCAACAGCTGGATTAAACTCACTGGCGTCATGCGGACTCGAGCACCCACTGGTTTCGCTCATCCGTATAAGGGCTTGTAAGAGTAACCTTGGACTGTATGAGAGCAGCCTTGCGGATGCGAGTATAAAGGAATACTTACAGGAGTGCCTTCTTCCTCGCTGGAAAATCCCCAGAATGTATCCTGATCTGTGGGGGAGATGCTATGAAAATATCGTAGTCGTTAGTCATGGTCCATGCCAAATCAAGTACTGCAGCTATATACGTGTATTGCCGCTCTGCGGCTTCTTTCTGAATGATCCATTGGTGCTCGTGTTCTGCAGCAACGACTTGTTCAGCAGCGCCGCCCAAATGGTGCCTGCAAAACGCATATCTTCCAAACTTGCTATTGCGGATTGTGTACCTCTTATTGTCTAAGAGCTCGATGTCCCACTTAGCGATGCATGTACTCAGCAACCACACCATGAAGCTTAGCTTTAGCCAACTCACGATGCGGCCTTCATCATCTCCGTGAGCAGTGCACATCAAGCGAGCGTCCACATCCGCGCTCCTCAAAGTGACCAGTGTACTGAAATAGGCATTGCGTATGATATATCTTCCAGTCGGTAGCGTCATATTGTGTGAAGGTTGCAAAGACCTCGGTGAATTCGCCCAGTGGTTTTTTATGTATTTACGACCCGCATTGAGACAGACTCCATAGTACGGCGGCGATTGTGCAAACTTTAGAGCGGCTCCGCGGGTAACCTGTGAGAAACATTTGTAACGCGGTCAATTCAATCGTACGCAAGCGTTCGAACTATGGATCAAATCACAATGGGAGATATCGAGATCATCAGCCACGCAGCACTTAGCGGCACGTCCTACTGCGTGCGGAGTTGGAATTATTCCGAGCAGGTGTGACAGAAGGCTGATTAGAGTAGATAGGGACGTACCCAACCATTCAATTAGGCCGTAGCGCTTTCATCTTGATCATCGGAGATTGTGGCTTACGACATAGTTGCATGTTAGAGCTAAATATTTGTCAACGGCACTTTTCACCACCGGCTTCGTCGATGGACATTAAGGATAATACCAAATTGTGACAGTTTTTGAAGTATTGAATAGGGCGCAAGTTTGAATTAGGAAGCAATGCAGCATTATGCCACTGCGCCTGAAAGAAATGGTGGTACTGTAAGCTGCATACGGATTGGCTATCATCGATCATCGCTGTCAGCGGTAAAGCCTGCAACGCCCAACAGCATCAATGCCAAACTCGCACTTCTGACATGTAAGCACATAATCTGCAGACAACCGATCGTAGTCCAATTATTCCAGAATGTCGTAAGAGCGTAAGCATGCTATAGTAGGGCGTTGCTTGACAGAGCCGCCGGGAATTGCACTATCTCACTGGCAAACACACGACCCATGGTCCGTCTTCTAGACAACGGTGCCGAGTCAGCCGAGTACGTGCGCTGCAGCAGGTAGCATGTTTGGGGAACCTAAATTGACGCAGGATGAACAAGAATAGACATTGAGGTCTAGAGCGCGGGAGAGCCAGTGCAGTCTCATGTGAGAGTGGCGGAAGCAATGAGGAATACAACCACATCAGCCTGTTATGCTTCCATTCGTCGCGAAGGCAACATAGTCCGCACTAGTAGAAGCATCCGTCGGAGCTAAAAGGCATGGACAGATACCCGTCAGCTGTGAAAGCCGCTCATGTGCAAAGAAAGTTCAAGGCGGAGTACATCTGAATAAGCCGAGAGGATGCCTGACGGGGCAAAACTGAGCACGGTACTGATGGGTGCACTATATTCCTGACACATGTCGAGGCGTACCGTGTGGAAAAGCAGATCAGCATCGCTGACCATGCCAGCTATTCCGCAGCTGAAGATAGAGTTCGATTGAGCACTACTAACGTTATATGACTTAACTTGAACTGATCGTCCCGGCGACGTGGAAAGGCGACTTAGACGTCTTGCTGACCGGAACATGCAAGCATATGTCTACTGCAAATCAGCAAGAATACAATGCGAAAAGGTGCCTGTCAGAAAGACACCAGTAGATGAAACGCCGAAAGAAACATCGCACTCAAGCGCTTGAGCGCTCGAGAGCACGTCACTAGCGCCCATCACTTTCCCCGTGCTCAAATCGCCACCGAACTTGAAGTCTTGAACGCGTCCCTCCACGCACTATTCTCAGCTATAGCGGAGTTTGCATATCCAATACTCTCAAGGCACCCTTTCTCATTCCGACCAACAATCATCATGACGTGCGGACTTCAAGCCCAAGACTTCACTTCGTACAGATGCTAGCGAAGGCGACTTATTTCTTGAGGTCTAACGTTTTAACTCATGTAGCATTTGGATTGAACGCCGTCGTCCATCCTTTTACAATGTTTCTATCGTAGGGAAAAACTAATATCCGCAGTACAAAGCATGCAAAATCGATGAGTCAGCTTAAGTGCCAAGCAAACGAAGGCGCCCCAGCGAGCTACTGATGAGGTGTGCTGCGCCCTCGTTAAAATATTCACCTTCGTTGTGTTCATCCCTAGCATGCGGCACGGCAAAAGGTACCTGTCAAACACAATTGCATACAAGAATAACTACATTCAACAGTATCGACCATTCAACGAGCTCTCGTAAACAGTACAATGCTTCAAAATCAGCATACTGCTGGCCCAATGCTGGTGCCCTTCTGCGGAAGGTCATACTCAGACCTTGGCGAAGATCCACTTGTTGGACGCGTCGGTGGGGTACTGGCGGAGGGTGACCTATTGAGCAGCCAGTCAGAACCCTCCACAAAGCGTGATGCCGAACACTCACGGGAGTACCGATCTCTCCGTTGTCGAAGCCCCAGAAGAGGTCGTTGTTGGTCAAGACGATGCTGCAAAATTGTCGGCACTCCCGAAGCTTGATATATCGCCGACAAAGTACGTACTTATACTGGCCAGAGGTGGTGGTCTCGACGATCTTGAATTCCTGAACGTTGGATTTGGAGACAACCACGTCCTGCAGCTGTCCGGGATAGCCGGTGTTTGCGAACTTGCTTGAATACTTGATGCTTTCGATCTTGTAGCGCGCGTTCCCCACCACGGTCACCTTCCACTGAACGGTACAAGTGAGATACATGCAGTCGGCAGCAGATCTGATATTCACTTGCCTGTGCGTTAGCATCACTGTCCGAGCTTCCAGCAGTCAAAGGAGTCCCCTCGTTGGCGTTCGCAAGGGTGATGTAGCCGTGGGTGTAGGCGTTCTGGATGGTGTAAGTGTTGCTCTCAATAGCCATGTCTGATCGTGCGGATGCGAGCAGATGATTGTGGGTTGGGCTTTATCGCGCTGCAACGTGGGTCTTTTATACTCATCCTGGCTGGCGCTTTAGGACTCCTGACATTAGCTTAATGACAGATAATCGGCGTGCGACCATGTCTCCGGTACTCTTCAGTTCCGGTGTGGACGGTCCCTCAATTCCACAAACGTACAGAATCACCGTGTACCAGTTCTCCTGGGTATGTTCACTCCAGATGTGTAGGCACGATTGTGATGTCTGGTCTCAGACGTCAGCGTGGTTTTGCTCAAGATTCTTGCGCCTTGGGTTTTTACGGCGGCTCTCATCAAAGCCTTACCAGAGACATCAGACCTCTGACTGTATGCGCAACGAACATGCATATTCGACTTTGTCCCGGCGTTCGATCACGTCATCTAGAGTGCTATCCAGGTAACTGAAGATGGTAGACGGACCGAACAAACTACCGATGCTAGTACACTCGGATCAACATGATGAACACGTTCTGGAAGACAAAGCCGTTGTTCCAACAGAGCGGAGTGCAGTACGTTGGCGTGCATCATTCTTGAGGCACCCAGTAGATGTACGTCCCACTGCCTCGGAGGAGCTTCCCTGAATAGCATCAGAAAGCCATGTAACCGCATCGGCAATATTGTTGACATCGTAAGCCAACTTGCTAATCACCCTTTCCCATAGTTGTGACCATTTTCGTCACTTGCAGTCTTCAGCCTCGCTGTCGTCGGAAGACATTGCTGAGTACGTTGTTCCTTTTCACGTGTCTCCTACTCACAAACGCTAGAAGACCAAGTGCCCCCATATGACAGGCGACACCCGTGACTTAATCAGTGCTGAGAGCTTCCGCAGTTCAGGCTCAGCATCCTTACGCAGATATCACAAGTCGAGACCTTGTGGAACTTCCAATGAAGATATCGTGTACTCGCGCAACGGTCTGGCACCTCGGTGAATGACTTGTGAACTAGTATAAGGAGAAGAAGGAGGTTGCAATGCAATCAACGCTTTCGACTACCAGTCGGTAGACGTGAACTTCGCTAACGCTAGAAAGAGCGCACAACTTCCCGAGCTGACATATTGTCGGGACATGTTCACGTCCGATGACCGTAAAGGGCATAGCAAGAACGAGCTTCATACTATGCTGCTTTCGACTGTTGCATGTTGTCGATGGAAAACGAATCGATGATTCCATATATCAGACTTTCACCGCTCCTCGCTGTCCTAGTCCCTTCAACGAAATCTCTGCCTCTACTCGGCTATGGTAGGTGGAAAGTAAGCCTGGTTCGACTACTACCAAAGTGACTGTTACAGATACCGTGCCGTTCAATAATTTATTGGCTCCATTCGGCCCAGGGCCTCATAAGTGTAGCCTTTCGCGATGTTAGGACGGCCTTGAGAGTGAAAATTCATTTTGGGCTTTACAAGCGTGCCCTGTGAAAGATACCCAGGACATGCTCTGGAAGATGCTATGGAGGACATCGCAACCGTGTTTCATCAGCCATGGTGCGGTACTCAAAAGCGTCATCCTAGGCGAAGGGCGCCTGCAATTGCGTTTATTTGTTGAACGCGTCCCTCCGATGTGTTTGCATTGGACTGCACTCTACGAAATGGCATTAGTGGAAGCAAGTGGCGACGAGAAAGCACGCATGCAAGACATCCCTAGAACATGTGTCGATCATATTGAAATACAAGGCAGCGAGATCATCACAAGTCTTGCATCGGAGCAGTCTGCTTACTAGCTGGGTTAGAACTATTCCGGACACGTCGGACAGAAGGTGGCAAGGCAGCGGCGGAGGTATCCGCACGTCCTTTGAATGGGATTGTGGTGCTTCCGCAGTGACCATGACAGGATAGTTATTCATGCCGCTGCTGAAACGGTCGGAGCCGGATAATGATCATCATCGCCTTTCACAATCGACTTGCGACTTCGCGATTGGTATCACATCACTCTGTGGTAGCGTGCAAGCACTGGCAATCGAGTGACTCGCTGTGCGACGGAGCATTCCGTCACTGAGCCCTATATCTAAAATGCTGAGTGCATGGGGACTAGTGGCTATCATCATTCATCATGTCAGCAGTGAAACCTACAAACCTAACGGCGTGGTGATGCGTGCGCAATCTCGAGCCTACGGTTCTCTCATGGTGCACATTTACTCTGCAGATGGCGGAATGGAAACAGCGCATGTTGCAGCGGCATGTCGTCGGAAGGCGCAAGAACAATGCGGTCGGTCTCTGTTTGAGACAGCCTCGCGGTATTCCATTGGCATTTCGCTGACACATACATGATCCGGTAGTCCGTCTTCTATGCTGCAAATGTCGACCGCCGAACGCATGCTATAGAGAGCTGCGTGCCATAGGAGCTAGGCCGATGCAGGACGAATGTCATTGTGGTACAGATGTGGTGGTCTTGAACGCGCGATCGCACATTGAGTGTAGCTCCGGCGGAAACAATGTCGAAAACGTCGTACATCATGCTAGCCGTTTTCCGGGCATGTTTCTATTCATTGCAGCCTGAGAGGCAGAATAGTTCACACCAACAGAATATATGGCTCGGAAGAAAAGACGCACCGGCGGGGGAAGCATCAGCGGAGTGGTCGCGACTCGCCGCTACCACATGGACAATCACAACCGCCCGTGTGGTTCTCAATAGATCGAACAAGACGAATAACGCATAGCTGCATTCTTTCCCTGATATAGTAAAGTTTAGCATCATTTATTTGACGATCAGTCTACCGTTCATGATCGATTATTCCGGCGATCCGCCGGAAAAGACGCCTAAAATAGACGATGAAAAGGCACACCCTGTGTACCGTTACGGACTCGAGGAAGACTTCCATCATGGTGTTGTACCTGGATTGCGGCGACAATGGCTGGACTGCTAGCGAGGCTCACTGGATGCTTCTGCAGCGATTTGCTGTTTTATTCTCAAGAGTCAAGGGCATCCCACTGGCAGTTTCTAGAATTGCGGCAAATCTTCCATTCCAAATTTCCTTCCAGAGGGCTTACTATTCAATATTGCTCTGTTACCAGGGGCAGCATTGAGTCAATGCAGCTCGGAGTAAAAAGAACAATCAGTAGAGCGAATGATATCCCCGGATTACTGCGATGTTAAGCAGCTTTCGGGAGTTATGCCTCACGGTGCGCTTCTCCATCGGTGAGGTATCATGCATTGAATCTTAATCCGTGCTCACCACGCTCTGCTTTGCATGTGACTGCGGAGGGTTTGAACTGCCGAGGCTAGTGAATGATCAAAATCATGAAAGAAGCGGACGACAATCTGATGGACCTCATAGGATATGTCAGCGCAGAACATTGACAATGTCGAGTTCCATTCGTATGACGACAGCGTCTATCAGGGCGTCGGGCCGCTGACCTAACCATCCTCACATGCATATGCCCACATTCAGCAAGTTGGAACTGTGACATATACTCAACATTTGGTGCAGGGTAACCCGCTCTTAGTACAATCAGTGCTGACATAGAACTGTCAAGCTCAGGGTACGTTTCATGGCACATATGGTGGCAAACATTGCACGTCCAGCCTATTTCTTCGCCGGGTGATTCCTATATGTTCTGTCAGCGATAACCGAAGGCACGTCATTAAACATTGAGCTCACGACTCAGGCTTGTGGACCTCGTGTGCCGTAATGATCCACTGATTGCTTTCGTCTGTGAAGGGCCTCCGAAGCGTAACCTAGATTCCATATGACAGTGAGAAACATTCCGGTGGAACACGAATGCAGCTTACGGGAGTACCCTCTTCGCCGCTAGTCAGTCCCCAAAATATTTCCACTTCAATAGGAGAGATGCTTCGGATATTGTCATTTCGTGCGCAGTTTGTAGATTGATTGGAGCGACCTACGTGTAATGGTTCTTCTGAGCCTCCTCTTGGATCGCCCACTCCTGTTCATAGGTCGAGCCTACAATCTGCTCGTCGGCGACCGCATGGTGGCTGCAATGCGCATATGTCTGAAACTTGTGGTTGCGAATCGTGTACTTCCCATCGGCCAAGTACTTGATCTCCCACTACAGCACGCAATGATCAGGCGAGACGTCAACGAGAAAAGCACTCTGCTCACGATACGGCCTGCGTCATTCCCGTGCGGGGTCGAAATGAGACGCGCTGCTTCGTCGGCACTCTTCAGAGTGGCGTAGGTCTTGTAGTACACGTTGCGTATGGTGTACGTCCCGGAGGTCAGCGTCATGTTGCGTGAGCGGTGAATGGTTGCGCATAGACAATAGGTGCACCCTCTTATGTAGGCTTGGCCTGCAGCAGGATGCTGTACACCATTCGTTCCGAGCGTGCAGTGGAGTCGCAGAGCAACGCTGTGGAGCATCGCCCGTGCGGTTCATTCTCAGCACATGGCATCCTTAGCACCCCGACTTACGCCGCATCAAATGCTCAGCATTACGCGCAAGCATTGTGGACCGCAACTGTCGTTGCGAAGCTGTTCGTCAGCTGACCCGATCTGGAAGACTTGGGTTTCACCGGCTTTAGCGATCACCTGGCGCTGGGAACCAAGTCGGGCATTCCACAGCGCTGCCAAGCAGCACCTATGCACCATGCCTAATTTGTTAGATGAGGGCGTTCGCAGGGTGGATGTCCGACGTGCGTTGCATGATTCAACGTCATGATACAAGACGGAACTGCGAATGTTCCGAGCGACGGATGATATACGCTATAGCCGCTATACCTGAAAGAATATAAATCGCGGCGGGATCTATTGGGGAGTATTCTGATGAGTACGCAGTACAGCGGATGAGACCACATACTCACTACCACACACCCGTCATGCGCTACACCGGATGCGTCAACTAAAGCAGAACGAATCATAACGGCATCGGTATGAGCGACTAGAGTGCGCAGTTGGCACATGGCAATTCAATGCATGAGTCAGGGCCTACGGAGTGAAGATCTCGTAGCATTCCCTGTTCAGATATGGGTCTTTTCGCTGGACTTTCTGAGCGTCATCTCAAATGTGGTGCTCACCTTGCGCTAGAGATCAAGTCGGGTATCCGACAGCGCTGCCAGCGAGCACGTATGCATCATGCTTGATTCGTAGATGGGTGCGTTCGTAGGATAGATGTTCCGCCGGGCGTTGGATGATTCGAGGTCACGATACAAGACGGAACAGAAGATATTGCACGACGGACGCTACGCACTACAGCCGCTATTCCTGAAAAGAAAAAGATATCGCGCTAGGATCTATCGGGGAATACTCTGATGAGTACGCAATACAGCGGATGGGATCGCATACTCATTATCACACATCCGTCATGCACTACACCGGATGCGTCAACTAGACTCACCGCCTAGGGATTGAAGGTTTCGTAGCATACGCCGTTCAGAAGCGGGTCCCTTTGGCCGGACTCCCTGAGCGTCATCTCAAACGTGGTACTTTCCTGACAAACGCGTCAGCATCGGGAACAGTCTATGAGCGCCAACGTCTCACTTTAGTTCGTTGCACATCGTTCAACTCCGACTAAGAGGGCAAGATGATATTGTATCGAAACGCAGTTCCTTTGATGTACGCAGTTTCCGGAAACCTCGGCTAAAACACAAAAACTCCTTAACTTTCCAAAAGGATATGGCAGCATTATCCTTGTTCCAAACATCAAAGCCTAGGAAAAGTTTAGAAAGAAACAATTAGATCGTACTTGAGCTGAAATACCCACTCACTTCGCCTGAGATAAACCGAAATCTTCAACATATGATCTTGCAAGATCGAACGATCTTATCGCTGCTACCGTTAGACATATTGTGCTATGTAGCAAATTTAGCACAATCCAGATCACAGATATCATATTGAACACGATGACGAGGATCCACTTATGCCGTAGTAGTTCTTACACATTGTCGCTCACCAACTATGTCACATCACAATTGAACGTACCGAGGATCGCAGGCAGATCATACAGGTCTGTGTCTGCCGCAAGCGACAGCCAGCCATGTACTGAACACCGCCGCTGTCCCCAGTGCAAGCGCATTCGTGCACCATGAACGAACCAATAAACCGTATCCCGCCTCGGGCGCCACTCCGCGCATCCAAACATCGCGTACACAACGCGTCAGTGGCTCGAGCCCACGTGGCCAATCAACGCGTCCGATCGACTCTCTCTGACGCGGCGCCCTCTCTCGTCAACTCGAACGCAGATATGCATAATATGTGCCACCTACGCACCAAGCTACAGCATGCAACTGAAGTATCAGACCCCTAAATTCCCTATACCATTCATCACGACTGCTGCGCCCAGCTGAGCTCGACCATGTTCAGTGCCCACGCAGCAGCCACCTCTTCGGCTTTTCCACATTCCCGCTGCGCGCGCCTCCCTCTTCTCTCCTCCTCACCTAGGCCCACTACGACACATCCCGCCTCACCTCGCCCGAAGCCACGTCCGCACCACCCAAGCCAAGTCCTCAGCCCAGAATCCAGAATCCAGAACCCAGAACACAGCTATCAACCACAACCTAGCCAAAACGCCCAAAAAAACCTGAAACCTGAAACGCAACCATCAATTTCAAAATTCCCGGTCCAGCCACCGAACCTGTGGCCCGGCCAACAATTTGACGACGCTCTCAAGTTTCAACGCACAAGACCCCGATCTCGCACGCTTTGTTCTTCCATTTGATAATTCACCCGAGCCTCTCGACCGGGGACCAACGCATCATTCGCTGCCTCGCGGGTGCGCTGAAACGTTGATGCCCATCAATGCAGCAAAAGACCGGACACGGTCTCGTCGCCACCAGCGCAGAACAACAGCACCCACCAGCAGACAAAGTCTACAACGAGTCCTAGTCAGAGTCCGAGGGCTGGCGTGAGAGGGCCACGTCGACCGTGATGATCGGCTTTTTTTCTTCTTACACACGCGCGCAGACACGTCTCCAACCAGCCTCGAGTTGATTACCACGTGCCCACGCAATACACGCACGGACCTACGTACACTAGTTATCAGTCCACCACTTTTCGCTTCGCTCCGTTCGCTCTATCTATACACACAATCAATTCAAATAACCCAATAACCAATAACCCATCGAGGAACGAGGAACGACAACAAGTAGGAGGAGGAAGAATGCGTGACGTGACGATGGCGGGACGATGTGTATACAATGGTGATGCGATATGATGTGATGCGACGAGAGAGGATAGGGTATGATGTCGGTACGCAGTGGTGTGCCCAAATATATACGCCAGAGAGCCCAGGAGGAATTCAGAGCAACAGAGCAAGAGCCAAGAAGGTCGTCAGTGTCGTGCAGAGGTCATACAATCATCAGGCGCAGGCGTCCGGAAGCAGAAAGGCGGCAGAGACGTTTCTCAACCACCCCACCCGCCTCAACTCAGATCCATCTTGTCGTCCCCATCCCCATCCACCGCTCCTCGCTGCTGCGCCTCCCATTCCTCCCTAGACGGCAAGCTCACCGCGCTCCCCGCCTCGCACAGCTCCCGCGCCGCCCGCGCATACAGCGCCTCCCTCCTCTCCTCATCCTCCTCCAAATTCGCGCGCGACAGGAGCGCCTCCGCCAGCAATTCCTTCACGTCACTCTTCCTCTCGCCTCGCGTTAACGGAATCAAATTGATCCCAGCCTTGGCCTCTGCATCCTTCGCGCGCTCGAACAAATCCACCGCCTTGACGAGGTCCTCCCTCGCCTCCTTTGCTTCCTCGCTCCGCAGCACGCCTTCCTCCCCGCGCTCCAGCGCGTCCTCGAGCTGCTCGACGATCGCCTCTCCCATCACGAGCCAACACCGTCCGCGCGCCGCTGCCAGAGAGGCACGCCAATTCTCCATATCCGCCTCCATCTTCATCTGCGTCAGCACCGACTCGGCCCATTGCGCCCAGTACGCGCGCTGCGTCCCGTCCTCCAGCCGCTCCGCCACCCCCAGCACGTCCGTCGCGATGTTGAACAGCTCCCGCGGGCGCGAGAACGACGCCGACGTGTCGCCGACTGGCGGAGTGCTCATCCGGCGCGCAGATAGATGCGGGCTCGGAGAAAACGACCGCCGGGGCGTGGCCGGCAACGCTGGGCTGTATGCGTGCGGGTTTTGCGAGTGCGGATAGTGCGGATGCGGCATGTGGAAGATCCCGCGCGAGAATTGGTCCATCGCAAGCGTCATCACTTCATGTGCGCTCGCCGAGTACAGGCTCATCCGGCGCGACACGGGTGGGCGCGCGGCTGCAATCACGGCAAATGGCGAGTCGAGCGGCCAATTTGGCTCGCTCATTGGGAATGGCGATGTGTTAGGGCGATAGCAGTACTCGTCCACGGGCGCGCCCTGCCGAGCAAGCGCCCTCATATGCGTGACCTTTGCATCGGCAAGACTGACGAGCGTGCGCCCCCAGGCGATCGCCATACGCCAGTCCTCAGCGATGTCCGAGAAGGTGGAGATCGCTGCGAGTCCGCCGGTCCGACTTGGTAGGTTCTCGCCGGTCTCGAAGACGTCGAGTGCGGCGAGCCACCAGTCGTACGGCTCATCAGGCTCGCCCGGGAGAGCGAAGCGTTTATCGGATTGGATGAGGGAGCCCATGTGGTAGAGTGCCATGCCGAACATGGCGTGGAAGGCCGTGGGGAGCTCCGGTGTGCTGTGTACTAGTGAGCGCCCATGGGCGGTGGGAAGAGGGCAAACATACGGAGAGCGATGCTCCGGAAAGTCCATGGTCGAGTCAAAGTCGGAGCCCCAGTCGCGAGAGAGACGCTCATCGGTGGGCGTCATGGTCTCAGGGGAGCGAGTATTTCTCCATACGGGCGGGTCGGCGAACACAACGGAGGGATCGGGGTGAACGTTGAGGAAGCGATGGCACTCGCGAATGACGGCGCGGAGGAGTGGTAGGGCCTCCGGGATATCGTCGGCTGAGAAGGGTGGAGTTTAGACAAACACGCGTGAAGACGATCAAGGAGCTCACCGTCATATCGATCGAGGGCGCGTGCAAAAAGCTCCTTAAGGTTTTGCCAGTCCTCGTAATCTGCGGTGGTGGGCTGCTTGCCCTTTGGGGAGGAGAGGGCATCCATGCTGTTGAGGATCGAAGTGATGGTGGCTACGCGGCGGATGGGCGGGCGGACAGGCGCATAGTTAGTGTGGTGGTCAGAGGGGGGAGTGCGAGAGCCGGAAACGCTGCTAGCGAAGGGAGAAGGGAGGTCGAGATCGATGACCGAGTCAAAGTAGCCG